AGTGTTTCTAATTTCTTACACTATGAGTGGCACGTGAAAATACTATTCACGTAGATACATATTTTTCAAAATAGTCTCTGTTATGCAAAGATCAACAGAGTACAAAAATACCAAGAGTGGAAAATCTTTGGGGTAACAGCCTAACGGGAAAGGAGAAAATTGGGGAATGCAGCAGGATCTGCAATTCGAGTGGGGGCGGGTGGACAACCCACTGGATCCGCGCGAGGAGTTGATCTGCGGTCTCGCAGTGACACCTACAGGCCACCGTGGCCGCGCACCTGCGGCTACCGCGTGCGACAGCGCCACCTGGCGGGAGCAGGCCCCGGCCAGCCCGGGGAAGATTTTCTTTCTGAATCCAAGACTAGAGGGGATGAAAGCGCTCAGGACCCTCTGGGGTGTGTCCTGTGGGCCTCTGGGGCTGGGGTGTGCCCAGGAGGAAGTGTCCGTGGGCTGTACGCACCTGCCTATCCATCCTGCCCATCCATCCTGCCCTCTGTACTGCCTGGCCCTGCTCAGTCCAAAGCGCCTGTCCCAGCTGGACTCTGGCTGGACAGAGCAGTCGATGCTTTAAGAATGAGTGCTGGCCTTTTCTGCCTTTACAAGTAGGGAAAGAGGGGAGTTGGAGAAGTAACCAAGGTCGTAGCCTCCGGGAACGCCTCCCGGGCAAGCTGACTCCAGAACCAAAATTCTCCCCACCTGCCTCCCAAATGTGGGTGGAACCTTTGCCATTGCAGCACAAAGCAGGCACATTCTGTGAGTTGGCAGGCTTCATCCCTACCGACACTGGAAGCTACGGCAGAGGGGGCAGGCATCCTCGCTGTGCGTTACTGCGCAAGTTGCTGCCCTTCTCTGAGCCTCCATTTCCTCCGTGCCAAATAGGCATGCAAGAGAACGTATTCAGTGCTGTTCAGCGCCACCCTCCCGGGAAGTTTGTCAGAAATGCAGAGTCTCAGGCCCTGTCCCAAACGCTGAGTCTCGCTTCCTTGGGAGGTGGGTTCCAGCAATCTGTTTCAACAAAGCCCCCATGAGACTGTAATGCTGATTGAGAATCTCCGCCTCCCAGGGTCACTGAAAAGAACAAATGAGATCGTGTGTGCAGGGTGCCTGGAAGATACTCGCATATGATTGTCGTAATTCTCCAACTCTAGAGAGCTTGGGTGAGGGTGGGGGGCGTTTTCTCTTTTCCTTCCTTTTATATATATATATATATATATATATATATATATATATTTTTTTTTTAATACAGGATCTCACTTCATCACCTAGGCTGGAGGGCAGCAGTGTGATCACAGCTCAGGGAGCCTTGACTTCCCTGGCTCAAGCCATCCTCTTGCCTCAGCCTCCTGAGTAGTTGGGACTATGCTATGGGTGCATGCCACCAGCTAAATTATTTTTATTTTTTTGTAGAAATAGGGGTCTCATTATGTTGCACAGGCTGGTCTCGAACTCCTGGACTCAAGCAATCTTCCCACCTCGGCTTCCCAAAGTGTTGGGATTATAGGCATGAGCCTCCACAGCCTTTTTTTTTAATTCAAAAGTAAGACATGCTGTTAAACACAGAATTACCATGTGACCCAGCAATTCCCCTCCTAAGGTACACCCAAAAGTTGAACGCAGGAATTCAAACAAATCCTCATCCACCAATGTTCATAGCAGAACTATTCATGGTAGCCAAAATGTGGAAGCAACCCTTTTACCAGCTAATAAATGGATAAACAAAACGTGATATATTCATATAATGGAATGTCATTCAGCCATAAAAAAAAGAATGAAGTACTAAAACATACCACAATATGGGTGAACCTCATGCTAAAAATCAGATCCAAAAGTCTCACGCTGGTAGTCCCAGGACTTTGGAAGGCCAAGGTGCATGGATCACCTGAGGTCAGGAGTTCAAAACCAGCCTGGCCAACATGATGAAACCCAGTCTCTACTAAAAAATACAAAACTTAGCCAGACACAGTGGCAGCACCTATAGTCCCAGCTACTCTGGAGGCTGAAACTGGAGAATCGCTTGAACCTGGGAGCGGAGGTTGCAGTGAGCTGAGATCATGCCTCTGCACTCCAGCCTGGGTGACAGAGCAAGACTCTGTCTCAAAAAAAAAAAAAAATGTTATATGATCCTATTTATATGAAATATTCAATATGCAAATGTACAGACAGAAAGTAGATTGGTGGTGGTCTAGGACTGAGGGAGAGGTGTCTGGGATGAATGTGAATGTGCATGGGGTTTTTTTGGCACTGAGGAAAATGTTCTGGAAATGGTGTGATGGTTGCACAACATTGTGAATGTACTAAGTGTCACTAGGATAAATGTTATGTGTCTTTTTGCCACAATAAAAAATAAAAGGAGCGCCAGGTACTATGGCTCATTCCTATAATCCTAGCACTTAACGAGGAGGCTGAGGCAGACAGATCGCTTGAGCCCAGGAAGTCGAGATCAGTGTGGGCAAAATGGTGAAACCCTGTCTCTACAAAAAAAAAAAAAATATATATATATATATATATACATACAAAAAATTAGCCAGGCATGGTAGGGCACTCCTGTAGTCCCAGCTACTCAGGAGGCTGAGATGGGAGGATCATTTGAGTCCAGGAGGTCAAGGCTGCAGTGAGCCTTGATTGCACCACCGGACTCCAGCCTAGATGATGGAGCAAGACCCGTCTTAAAAAAGGAGACTTGCCAGTTGTAACAAGTCAGAGTTGTGTAAAACAGTTCTACCACCCTGAAGCCAGCAATGCTAATAGTTTGGGGGTGTACCTTTGACATCATTCTTTGTGCTCAAATGAACATATATAGACACTTACTGGATTTACCTCTTTTTAAAATTGTGCTCATACACATTTCTTGGGCAACTTGCTGTTTTTCACTTAATGACACATCCCAGATACCCGTCATGCCTCTTCCCTGGCCTATACATACAGATCAAGTCATGTTTTCGTAGCTGCAAAATGTGCCACCATCCCTCCCCCTTGTGGGCACGTGGAGTGTTTCCAGGCACCTGCCACTGTAAACAGCAGTCACGAACATTCGCAAACAGGTCTCATTTTGCACGGGGGTTTTCTCTCTGTAGGATGGATTTACAGAAGCGAGGCAGCTGTGCTAAGTCGTGGGCATTCTGAGTACGTATTGTCAGATAGCAATCAATTCTGCCGGAAGATGGAAATCGACAAGCTCCCCTCTGCAGCACCGACACATTTCCCCGGGCTCACACGTACACACATGCACACACATGCACACACACACACACACACACCCCGCAGGCCCAGATGCTATCAGTATTTATCATTTTTCCAGTTGTGAATTGATAATGCAAGACAACCAAACAGGTAAGGGGTGACATCGTACCAATGCTTTGGTTTATTACTTTGACAATTGGTATGGTTGAGTTCCTTGTTATGTGACCAGGTTTTGTACCTTGGGGAAGCGGGTGGTCCACAGACCCTTTCAGGATATAATGAGAGCTATGAAGTTTCCCCCTAGAAAATGTGTACAGACAGGCACATTTTGCAGACAATTCCAGGGGTTCAGGCAGAAAAGCCCATCTATAAGGCCCTGTTGCTGAGCCCTGTTCTTGAGTTTTCAAAGTGGCGCAGACTGCGGCGTCTCTGACATTTCCAATGAACGCAAACACGGTGTTTGTCTAAATGTTAATGGGTTTCCATGCCCTCTGCTGGAAGCATCTGTAGTCAGTGCGACGCTGCGGAGGCAGAGCCCGGTGACTGGAATTTTCCTCTCGCCTGAGAGCTGTTTTCTTCTCCTGCAGAACCAGCCCTGGAGTTTCGAGTTCAGAACGCACTGTTTGCAAGTTGCTGAGAAAGCCCTCTACTTAACACCCAAATCAGCAAATTTAAGGGAAATTCTTTATCTCCCACTTTGGGGATTATTAGTTCTGGACGGAGATGCTTATTGTATAAGGTTTGCTGGAAATGTATGAGGCTATCTGGAGACCGGGGGTGTATTGATTCCCAGTGAGTAAACATTTTAAGCAAATTAAGTGGCAGTAGCAATAATAATAATGGCCACCGTTTTTCAAGCGTCTGATCCATGCCAGACATTAAATCCCTCAAGTGACAGGGGTGGGTTTTATTACCCGATCATTACAGAGGAGGAAGCTGAGGCTCTGAGAGGTGCCATTGGTTGGCCCGGTGCCACACGGCTGGTGGTGGAGGAAAATTCTACACCGGATCTGCCAGACTGAAAGCCCAGGTCCCTCCCACTGCACCTTGGGGTCACGCTGACAAAGCATTGGGTCTTGAGGGCACAACCCACATTGGCCATCAGGTTTCACCAATGCAAACCAGGCTGGGATGCTGGTGATGAGGCCCACGTGATGGATAAAGACTCCGAGGCTCTTGGGAGGTGACCATTTGGCCTAAGGTCACACAACTAGTAAGGAGAAGAGAAAGGGATAGAACCTGGCCTGCAGAGCGCCGAAAACAAGACAGTGCTGTTCAATCCCAGCAAAACGCTGTTACCTACAGAACACTGCACTCTGTTGATTTGTTTGTTTGTTTGTTTGTTTGTTTGTTTGTTTGTTTGTTTGTTTTGAGATGGAGTATCACTCGTTACCCAGGCTGGAGTGCAATGGCGCCATCTCAGCTCACGGCAACCTCTGCCTCCTGGGTTTAGGCAATTCTCCTGCCTCAGCCTCCTGAGTAGCTGGGATTACAGGCACGCGCCACTGTGCCCAGCTAATTTTTTGTATTTTTAGTAGAGACGGGGTTTCACCATGTTGACCAGGATGGTCTCGATCTCTTGACCTCATGATCCACCCACCTCAGCCTCCCTGTTTGTTTGTTTTTATTGCATTTTAGGTTTTGGGGTACATGTGAAGAACATGCAAGATTGTTGCATAGGTACACACATGGCAGTGTGATTTGCTGCCTTCCTCCCCATCACCTGTATCTGGCATTTCTCCCCATGCTATCTCTTCCCAACTCCCCACCCCCTGCTGTCCCTTCCCTATTTCCCCCCAACAGACCCCAGTGTGTGACGCTCCCCTTTCCTCTTGTGTTCTCATTGTTGTGGCACATATACACCATGGAATACTGTGGATATTTTTAAGACGGAGATTAGCAAGGGTCAGGGAGCTGTTGAAGCACCTGAAGAAAAAGGAAACTCTCCTCGTGGATATTGAGAAGCTTGAGAGCAATATGCACAGGGACTGCTTTTCCCACCCAGTGTCTCAGTGTCACTTCATACAGTGTCAGGGACCACCTGAAGTCCCCTGAGGCGCCACCAGTGAGATGCCCTCCCTGCTCTCTGGGAATCCCTGGATTGGTGAATATGCTTCAGGCAAGGGAGTGTCCCACATCTGAGATGGAGGGAGGAAACGGTGGCAACAGTCCAGCATGCAGCTGAAGGCCTCCTGGAGTCATCTTCAGAGAGAGAAAGCAAAGTGGTGAGGACTGGGGCAGAGCCCAACAGACCCAAGATGTGCAGAAGCCCAGAGGGGCATCCCAACACCTGCCTCCTGGCTGCAGAGGCTGCTGGAGACTCTGCCAATAGAATGGAGTGCAGAAGAAAAGCTCAGTGTCTTCGTTTCACCACCTGGAAGGCTGGATGGTCAGGTAGCTGGGTCCACTAAGCCAGTCCTGGGCGAGACGTTCAAGTCACCCTCCAGCACCATGGTTGATGTTATCTCTCAAAATTTCTACTGCATTGACTTCCAGAAAGGAGGCAACTTACAATTCAACACCTGTATGAGGCAGTTTTGATTTTAGAAAGGAAAATAACTCACTCAAGGAAAGATAAAAGGCAAGGCCGCAGGGACATTGGATATTTGCCCCAGGTGGGCATCAACCTTGGCTCTGAGCCCCTGGCAGCCAAGGCAAGTGGAAACATGACGGATGACTCGGCTGCCATCATCATCTGCTCATAGCAATGTGCCCGTTTCTCCAGTAGGCTCCAGCCTGACAGGCTGGCGTAAGGCTCATGGGTAAGCAATGTCCCTGACAGTAAGGAGGGTAGGAGGAAGACTCCGCCTTTATTTGGCCTCCAAGAAATCCAAGGATACACAATGGCGTTTCCATGGGGCCACCAAGCTCAAAGGGTCAGCTCATCAGGGTTTTTTTGGTGATCAACACTTGGGAGCTCAGGAAAGGCACCAAATGGGTCTTCTATCTCCCCACTCGCCAGTGTCAACAATTTCACCCATGACTTCAGCAAGGTTTTCCAGCCTATCTTTGAGACTATAGCAGTTGTCATATACTGAGGCTTCCCACCTCCCAGGCCCTCCCGACAAGCTCAGTGACCAGAATTATCCTCCTTTCTCTTCTACAGATGATTCTTGGCTCAGAGCAGTGGGGAATTCACCCAAGGCCACATGGCAAAACCAGTAAGATGCAAGCTGAGATCTGTGCTGACCCCAAAGCCTGCATCCCCCACTCCACACAGGCAGCTCTTCCCTGTACCTGGGGATGCCAGAGGAGGTGAAGGAACTGGATGTCATGACCTGAAAGACCATCTGGAGCTCCTTTCCAAGAGAAAGCTCCTGTCCACTTTACGAAGAGCAGAAACCTGCCTGACCACCATGCCGGAGACCACCCCCAGGGCCCAACAAAAATGTTTGAGATTGACCACACAAACACACACACACACACTCAAAAAAAAAAAAAAAGACTTTTTGTTGGCTCCCAAAATATGAAAAAAAAAAAAAACTTCAAAATAAATGTCTAATGAAGTATCTACAAAATGTAACTTATCCCCCAATGGCAACTCAACCCTTCTGGGATTCTGGATATATTTTATTTTGTAAATGATGCAGACTTCTTTCAATGTATATAGGATGTTACATTGTCTAAAATAAAGTGCTCCCCAGGACCTACAAGAGTGTTCAGATGACCCTACCACAGACTGAGCAAAATGTCACCAGGAAGAGTTTGGGACTTGCCCTATATCTGGCCAAGTTCTTAATTAAATTGGAGGTAGATGAAGATAGACAGCTTGCCCCCAGAATTTTAGACACAGGAGTCAAGCAGCTGGCTCTCCAAACAATGAAGGCAGCTGGGCAGAGCTCCTGGCAAATGCACGACTTTGAGTAACGCCACTTGTTAAGTTAAAACAGTACCCTCATCACCCCCCTCAACACCTCATTAGCTAAATGGATTGCCCCATTGGGTTGGGGTTGCTTAATATCTGCCTAGTGACTTTGCAGAACATCTGCCAAGAACAAGATCTCAGTTTTGACATAGTTGATGCTGAGCTATTTTTTCCTTGACTATTATTTGTCAAACAGAGTGCTGAGCTGGGTACAGCCACGTACACTGAGTGTAAAACCACATCATCAACACAGATCTTACTTGCTATAACAGCAGGAAGTGCAGCCAATTAATTTAAAAGCTGACTCCAGTTCTCGAGATGGAAGTGGGAAAGGGCGGCTGTTTCCCAGACGCAGAAAAACTGCAATGGTCACGAAATCATTGCCACATATTTTGATTCCAGAAGTAGCTTAGAAGGTAGGGCTTTAGAGAAACATAAATGGCCTGTAGGAGGTGGGAGAGTGGACCCCACATGCCACCGAGCAAGACCCGTGGCCACTCCCTTGCTGTGGCATCAGAGTCTGGGATTGTTCTAGAGGGACTTAGGTTGTTTCTACCACATTTCTCCATGAAAGGAATTAGAGTTTGACAACAAGAGGCAGTCACATGGGTGTGCCCCACGTCTTCTCACTCCTTTTGTAGCAGACCACGTTCTTCAAAAATTCAAGCCAAATTTTAAAAATCAAGAGATCTGGTCAGGCACGGTGGCTCATGCCTGTAATTCCAGCACTTTGGGAGGCTAAGGTAGGCAGATCATGAGGTCAGGAGTTCAAGACCAGCCTGGCCAACATGGTGAAACCTTGTCTCTACTAAAAATAACAAAAATTAGCCGGGCATAGTGGCAGGCTGTAATCCCAGCTACTCAAGGAGTCCAAGGCAGGAGCATCACTTGAACCTGGGAGGCAGAGGTTGCAGTGAGCCAAGATGGCATCATTGCATTCCAACCTGGGCAATAGAGCAAAACTCTATCTCAAGAAAAAAAAAAAAATCAAGAGAGATCGTTTCAAAAAGCCAGATTTCTAGGTCTGGAGAGCCCTAGAAAGCTCTAGCAGCCTCCGCCTTTCATTTCTGCAGGAGTCGCATCTTGGTGCCCTCTTCAGACAGCTGGCCCCATTGTTGTCTTCCCTTCTTGTTTCCCAGGCCCAGCTCACTCATGCACTCTGCAGGCTGCGCCTCTGCGAGCACACCAGGCACATCCTGCAATGTGGTATAAGGTTTCTTTTTTCTTTTTTTTTTTTTTTTGAGACAGTGTTTTGCTCTTGTCACCCAGGCTGGAGTGCAATGGCACGATCTCGGCTCATGGCAACCTCCGCCTCCTGGGTTCAGGCAATTCTCCTGCCTCAGCCTCCTGAGTAGCTGGGATTCCAGGCACGTGCCACTGTGCCCAGCTAACTTTTGTATTTTTAGTAGAGATGGGGTTTCACCATGTTGACCAGGATGGTCTCGATCTCTTGACCTCGTGATCCACTCACCTCGGCCTCCCAAAGTGCTGGGATTATAGGCGTGAGCCACCGCACCCGGCCAGTATAAGGTTTTGTAACGCAGAAACCTGAGAGTTGAACACAGACACTCCAAGGTGGTCTCCACAAAGGAAAGAAGTAAGAGCTATCCCAGTGCTGGCAGGAAAAGGAGGATGCTGGCAAGAGGAGACTGCGTGGACCACTGGAGAGCGGTCAAAGGGAAGATGTGGCCAGCCCGATTCCCATCTTTTACACTGTTTCCACTCCATCTAACGCCAACATGTTACTTTCCAACAAGAGTAATTAGGCGTCCCTTCTGGAGAATGTGTTTGGAGAGCCAAGCTCACCCAGCTTCCCTTCTGCCCCTCACTCAAGAAGCAGACCCCAAAGATGGCTCAGGAAACCTTCTGAAACATTAGCTGTGGGAGCATTTAGTTCCATGGGCTTTACAAACTGAAATTCACAGCCCACACTACACACGACCTCCCGACATTCGCTGGCACTTGTTTTGTACAATAACAATAGTGCTATTATCATTATTGCTATTACTCCTATTACCCCATGCATTAGACAGTCCCCAGAAGGGAGAGAAGGTAATTGGATCCCATCACCCCAAAGCAGTGCTATTGAGTACAATGCACAAATAGCTTAAAATTAAAGGCTGGCATCAGAGCCTGTTCAGTCTATAATGGATTACTAAATGAACACAGACTTACCTACTTTCATCAACACCCTCCCAAAATCATTTGCAAACAGGACAGATAATTTCGTATCTGATTCAGGTTAATTGCCCTGTTTTCCTGCTTCCCTGCACACCAAGGGCCCCCATGGGATTGAACACTGCAAAGTTGTCCAAGCCAGCTTCCACGGGCAAACATTCCCAGTGGGAGCTAATGAGGGGTCATCATCACCTTCTTAGACCCAAACCCAGACTTGACTCTCTGCAAAGTCTTCTGCACGACCAAGTCGCTGGGATCCCTTATCCCTGACTTTGCTCTCCGGTGGAGGAGATACATCTGCCGCTCGCTCTGTATCTGGTTCAGGCGGTGTGCAATGGAGATGGGGGTCTCCCCCTTGGCATCTCTGTCATGGATGGAGGCCCCTTGCCGGACCAGGAGGCTTATACAGTCCAACTGGCCCATGGCTGCAGCCACATGCAGAGGTGTTCTGCCCAGGGGTGATCTGCTGAGGCAGCTGGCTCCTGTAAAATGAGAGCATTGGCCAGAAGGAAAACACATGCAGAGGGGAAGCACAGGAGGGGTCCCGGGCTGTGAAGGGAGGTCCTGCTGCCTGGCCCAGCTCCAGCACTGCCCTGCCTCCAGTCCATTCCCCTGGCAGCAGCCAATGATCTTTCCAGAATGCCCATATCACACTCCTGCTCAGATCCATCACTGCCTTCCACCACCTGTGGAGTGATCTTCTAGGTCTTTCCCGCTCACTCTCTCTCCACCTTGCCACTGCTGCTCCAACATTCCCTCCTGCCATACTCTCCTCCCCGACCCCACCACCAAGGCTCCAATTATACCTACCTTCCACCTTCATCCCTAAAACACACCCTGCTCTCTACCCTGCCCCAGGCCCGTTGTACAACACTCTCACCCATTTTCTTCTGGGCTAACTCTGACCTTTCTTTAGGTTTCATTTCCTTCCTCGGGAAAATCTTCCTTAGTTTTCCCACCCCATGAAACCTCCTATATAAGCTCAATAGATATGCTACATCTTCAAAACACCATGCACACCATTGAACATGGAATTATTTGTGATAATCTATTGACTTCCCCTGAGAAATTCCACGAGGGCAGAAAACACACACGTCTGGCTCACTGCTGTTCTCATCCCCAGCACGTAGCTCAGGGCCTGCAGCAGACAGGTGCCAGGAAATGACAGGCAACGGGCAGCCTGACTCATAGACGGATTTTACTTCGATTGAATTCCTCACCGAGTCCTGCAGATGGATGGACTAATGACAGGTGTCCAATCTGGACTTGTGGAATTGAATCAAACTCTGGGTAACAAATATCATGACACAGAAAATAAGGCAATTCAATTAAATTCAGCAGACATTTCGGGAGCCAGTTTATATGAGCTCTGGCTGGTTGGTGAGGTGAAGTTTCAGATAGGCTCTCAGAATACCAGTGTCAACCATGGTGCCTCCTCCCAGCCACTGTCTGCGGAGGACAGAAAACTTTGCAAAGCTGGCTGTAATTTTTTAACTGGTGCCCTCAAATACATCACAGTGCCATCAGAGTGAAAATGACTTTTTATGAGCTTAAAGGACTGCTGGGCTGTGCAAAGCCCATACTTCATTTTACAACAAGCAAACTGCAGAAAGTCAGTAAAGGAAGGAAGGAGAATATTGTGGAGGTAACTTTACCTATCACAGAGGTTTATACGCCCGATGCATGGCCCAATCATCCAGCCCGAGAAATCCAAGATGTTTCCCACCTTGCTTGGTGTAAGTGGCAAAAATAGCCATGACAGAGCTGAGAGAGGCTGTTGGTGGGGAAAAAGGGGGTCTAATCTGAAGGCAAGTTGATACTTTGGAAAGTCCCCTCCAGAGCCCAAACCACTGACCAAACACCACGTATCATGTTCTTCCTTTTTCCAAGGCAGCTGATGGTCTGCGCTGTTACAGCTATTATCAGCTATTATCCATTGTTCTTGAATGGTCTGCATGTCCATCAGTGGGCATCTGTTCCAAAAATCCCCCACATCCAGGGAGGATAGTGTACACCTATGGAATGTCATGTAAAGCTCTTTAATTTGGACACAATGTTGGCTAAGACTTTTGCTTCTACCCATTAAGTGAGCCAGAGAGAGAGAGAGAGAGAGGAAGAAGGCCCTTAAGTGGAGGTGGGATGAAAAAAGAGTTCAGCATGAATGTCTTGTGAGAAAATAATAACAAGGCTTGGGGAAGGGAGAAGGATGAGTCTGCCATCCACCACAGACAGAGCTGTGCCAGCTGGAGGGTGAACTATTTGGGGTTTTTTTTGTGTATGTATGTATGTATGTGTATATATATATATAATTCTCCTGTCTCAGCCTCCTGAGTAGCTGGGAGTACAGGCATATGTCACCACGTCCAGCTAATTTTTGTATTTTTAGTAGAGACAGGGTTTCACCATGTTGGCCAGGCTGGTCTCAAACTCCTGACCTCAGGTGATCTGCTCACCTTGGCCTCCCAAGGTGCTGAGATTACGGACATAAGCCACCGCACCCAGCCAGAGGCTAGACCATTTTGGACCACTGCAGCATCCTAATTTCACACGAGGGTGGAAATCGCGCAGACAGCATGGGAATATTCCCGGCAATGTGTCTGGTGGTAAATAAACCAGTAAGCCTTTGTGGCTGCTCCCTGCGTCTTGGGTCCCAAAATGTCTGCCTCACTGAAGGAGAGTCTTCTTGAGACCTGGTGAAGAGAAGGAGGGCAGCCTCTGACTGGTACGCCCTAAGACACTTGCCTAGACAGGGAGTGAGTGCCCTGATGGGGACCCTGACTGGTGCGCCCTAAGACACTTGCCTAGACAGGGAGTGAGTGCCCTGATGGGGACCCTGATTGGTGGCTGACAAGACACAGGTCCAGAAAACCACTGCTGGAGGGACCAGGAAGACAAGATACTCCGTCCTCTCCACCTGCAAAAAATCCCAGTTCTTGAACATTGCAAGCATTCCACCAGAATTACCGTGTTCTAGAAGGTACTGCACAGCATCAACGTGACCTCTGTGCGAGGCCACATACAGCGCCACAAACGCCCTCTGAGACGTCCACTGCTTCCACTTCTCACCCTCAAAATGTTCTGAATTTGCAGTTCGGTAGAAGGAATCTTCAGTAACCCCAAGACAAGACAGCTGGGCAAGACAAGAGGAGTTTGAGTTATTCTCAAAAGTGTGGCTATGTTTTGCTGGACGGCTGGTTGGGCATGCTCAGGGGAAGGCTTGCTTGATGCCAAATTAAGGCTCGTGATGGGAAAAGAGAGGTGCAAACCCTCATTGAGAAGTTGGGAACACCCAGGGCAGGGTGGGGAGGCCATGATTTAAAGCTTTATATATGTTCAGGAAATGCAAATTCAACATTGGTCAGGCTTGGAATGCAAGGAGGTCTTCCTGTCAATATTCGGAAGAGAGAAAATAGCTTTGCCCAGTGTCCACAGGAAGGTGGCTGAAGCCACGAAGGAAGACACCGGCCAATACGAATGGCCTCCCAGAGGGTGACAGGCGTCTCTGGAGACCAGGTGGGCTCTAACCTTCCCATCTATTTGTGTGGCCACTGTCTTTGTTAGGTTTCAGAGCAAGCCAAACATGCACAGGTGAACGGCCCAGTCATGTAACTGCCTCGTGGTGAATTAAGTCTTTGATCCTGGGAGAAAGCTACGGGTCCCCTGAGGGAGGATACTCTTCCCTGATGTGGGAGTCAGGACTGGGGGGGCAGGAGGAGCAGAATCAAGACAAGGATGACGGCAATTCTGACAACCTCAGACAGCAGGGAGGTGACCCCCACGGCCAGAGCAAGAGCCAGAAAACCAAGCATGGACCACAGTGCTGGTGACAAAGGGAAGGGAGGCAGAGGGGACAGAGGAGAGTGCAGAGGAGGAGAAGCGAGAGGGACTGGGAGGAGATATGTGAGGGCTGGGAGGGGGCCCCCACCCTCCCCACTGTCCCCACCAAGGCTGCCTCCTGCCCCATTTGCCCCAAGCCCACTCACTCTTCTGAGTGCCAATCCCAGCCCCTGCTACACCCAGCTTGCCCTGACCCCTTTCTCAGCAAAGAAACTGTCTCCTCTTCTCCAGGAGCACATAGCTTTCCAACCGAATTTCTTTTCTAGAAAGAATATAGCATTGCCCCTCGTGTCGCAGTGATTCATCTTCCCTGTTGGGTACACACCTGTTTTCTATCCTTCTGGCCCCCACTGCCCACCCCAAGAGCCCAGCTCAGCGGCCAGCAGGAAGCCTAGAGGAACATGGGGCCTCTCCCCCTGCACCAGGCAGCATCTGGCCGGGGCCTGCATCATAGCCCTGATTTCTGGGCTGCACATTTCCTTGTTATCTGGAGTTCTCCTCTCAGTGTTAAATTAGATTTCCAACCTTATCACTTATACACATGAACAGAAACGTGCTGCCTCGACTCCTTTGCGGGGCGGGGTGGCGAGTGGGTTATAAATCACAAATCGATAAACCCAGCGAAATGGTAAACCCAAGGAGTGAAGGAAAACCCTCCGTGCGGTGCTTCATAATTATGACACGGCCATCGTTCTTTTCGCTCTGAAACTGTTACTCAAATATCCATATTAAAGACTAATTCCCCCCCTCAACAATTTACGGTTGCTTCATAACATATAATATCCATGTAAAGAAGCATGAAGACACCTTGCTGGGATCCCCTTCCACAGCCGCCAAAACAAGCTGTGTCCATCCGTCATGATGCCAGACACGTAATGAAATCATCCCTCCAGGAACAACATCGTGGAACGTCAGGGTAGCGTCATCCATCAAAACTCCTGCAGGGAACCATTGTTTTTTTTCTTTTAAAAAATTGGGTATTAAAGATAAACTACTACACTGGTTAAGAGATTATCTGACCTTGGGTGCCACAAAGATAATTTTAGAAGTACCAAATACAAATCTCATTTGCTGATGTTGCATGGGTCTGTCTGTGGTCGGTAATGCTTTTTAGAAAATTAATTTGGCTCAGCTCAGAAGCCGAACAAAATTATGATGCCAACAATTTATAAAGTTCTGTAATTATAACTTGTCCTATTGTGAAAAAGTACATGAGTCAGTAAAGTCATTTTATAAGACAAACTCTACAAATAGAATGACTTAAACTTGAGGTAACCAGACACTAGACACAGCACGATGTGGTCATACAAGTCATATGGGGTAAACCAAAATACTGACTCTTGGATAATGTCATTAGTTGGCTAAGGAGGTGACAATGACCAAAAAATTGTTGGATCTTTCAAACTGAAGCTTGGGTCGGGCTTGTCCACCTTGGCACTGCCGACAGTTTGGACTGGGTAGCTCCTCGCGGCAGGGTCCCCCCCGGTTGTTGGGTGTTCCTGGCCTCTCCCCACTAGATGCTAGCAGCATGTTCACCAAATTAAGGCAATCAAAAACGTCTCCAGGCCTGGCACGGTGGCTCGCTCCTGTCATCTCAGCACTTTGGGAGGCTGAAGTGGGCGGATTGTTTGAACCTAGAAGGTTTGAGACTAGCCTGGGCAACGTGGCAAAAACCTGTCTCTACAAAATACAAAAATTATCTGGGCCTGATGGCTCACACCTGTGGTCCCAGCTACTCAGGAGGCTGAGGTGGGAGGATCATCTGAGCTAGGAGGCAGAGGTTGCAGTGAGCCAAGATTGCACCACTGCATTCCAGACTGGGCAATAGAGTGAAACCCTGTCTTAAAAAAGAAAAAAGTCTCTAGACATTGCCGGATGGGCTCTGGGGGCAAAACTCCCCCAGCCGAGAGCCGATGTGACGTGAAGAGCTGATGCTGACGTCCACCTCATTTGCACTCGGGTGCCAGAGCTTCTTTCACCTCATACTTTCCTTGTGAGTAACGACACCAACATTAAGTTTCGGCTCTGCCCAGGTGAGACGATCCGATACTCCAAGTGACTGGGATTCGTGAGTTTTCTGGGGTCATGATGGACTGCTCTGTGCTGGGTACTAGGTACTTAGTGATGACTTGGTGCCCAGACCGAGCACCTATATTCTTTCATCTTAGGACAGTCCTCCAAGGTAGGTTTGTTATCTCCATCTGCTGATAAGCAAACGGAGGCTCACATAGCCTGTAAATGGCCATGCCAGTGCTGGCACTGGACCTGCCTCCCTCCAGGGACACTGACTTCTCCCTCTTGGCTCTATGGGCACAAATTTGCTAGCAGAAACTCAGGATGGCAGCTGTAAACCTGGAATGGTGATTAGCAAATCTGTTAATTAGTGTCCTATTTGTGGTTCAGACGCAGAAGGTAACCTACAATTAGTCTAAGTAAGACAACGACTCCCTACAACTTTGAGAATATTGAGTAGAGCTGTGTTTCCCTGAGACATGCCAGAGTACAACTCCCACCTGCTGCACAGCTCCTGCAGAAATCCGAGCACATCCTCCTTCTACAGTCAGGCAGCCAGCCACTGCCTTTGGCTTAGACAAATACTAATTATCACCAGCCAAATAAATTATCAAAGTCAACAACAGACGTGTAAGGGCAACCCTAGCCTATGGATTTGCTCACCCCCATTTAGATTTGTATATCTCAAGGTTTTCACACATATGATCTCATTTGATCTCCCCCAACCCTCTGCCCAAACTCTGAGGTAGGTAGGAGAGGCCTCAGAGGATTATTTATAGGCAGTAGCTCAAATTTCTCCTAATAATGAGTAGCACCTTCTGTCTTTCTTGTTTGCCACCCACAGCAAGAACTGCAACAGCAGACAGAGGTCGAGCCTCTAACAGTTGCTAAGTGCCTGTTGAGTGATAGTCCTGTGACATCAGTGTTAAGTCACTCCCCTCTCTCATTCCCTCTTAGCTTTCTTGAATTTATAGCTCAGCATAGCTCATCAGTGAAAATAAATGAACAGAAAGGGTGCGAGGCATTTGCATTAAGGATAATTTTCAAATTACTTGTTTGGGAACTCTTACTAAGTCCTTCAATAACTTTCCTCACTTTTAATATGTTAAATACGGACAAGGCTCAAAACACATTCCTTTCCAAAGAAAACCCCAAAAATGTCAAGAGCATCTTCCAAATACTCCTATAGGAAAATAAGTATGTCACAACAATGCTCAACCTATTTTGAAGAGGGCAAGGAAGAGATTTTGGCTTTTGCTGTGCATTTCGAGTTTCCTGAGTCTTTTCTGTCCGTAGCAGGGAAACGGCTCTGAGAATTCTAGAGCTGGTGGCTCTGTGTTACAGATTAGGAAACTGAGCCCCCAGGGCAGCGTCTGGCAGCACCAAGCCCGTGGAGGCAGGCTGCTCTCAGATCTGCTCGTCTCCTTCGCTCCCCAGCCCCTGCAGTACAGCTGCAGTCTCTCTGCAATATCAGCTGTTCACATTCTCTGTGCAGCAGCTCAGAGATTTTTTTTTTTATATCTTCATTTTCTTGAAGTGTTTTGCGTTGATTTCAAACGGGTGGGGAGATGATGGAGCCCAGGGGCTTTGATGCTGTTCTCATATCCTAAATATTGTAGGGAATCGGGATAGGGAAAGCCACATCTTCAGGTCAGGGAAGGAGACTGATGGAACGAGAGATGGGCTCTAGGGTGCCTGTCACACGGGACTTCTCTGGAGCTGGGACCTTGGGGTCCTAATTCAGTCATGGGAAACTTTCAGCTCTGGGTTCTGATTCCAGATGGACTAGCTTTGAGCTCCCGATGTGAACAAGGACACGGCTTGGAATTTGGGGTTCTGATATGGACTGGGTTAGTGCCAGTATTTGGGGTTCAAACGTGGATAGCAGCATTTGCTTTGAGACTTGGGGTCCTGTGAGGGCAGTTTACTCTGGATTAGGGATTCTGATTAAAGTAAGGTTTGCTGTCATTTGGGAGTTCTGATGTGAAAAGGTCTGTTCTGGGATTTGGAGTCCTTGTACAGGCAGGACTTGTTTTGGGGTGTGGGGATCTGTGTAGTCCTGAGCAGTGTGGCATTTGGAGAGTAGGAATCGACCACATCTGCCCTGAGATTTGGGGTCTTCATGGTGATAAAATCTGCTTCAAAATTTGGGGTCCTGCTGTATGCAGGATTTGGTCTGTAATTTGGGGTTCTGGTATAATTAAAGTTGGCTGAAAGATTTGGGTTACAAACACAAGAAAAGTTTGCTTTGAGCTTTGGGGTCCTCAGGGAGGCAGGGTTTGGTTTTAACCTTGACTTTCTTACACAGACATGGCCGGTGTCGACCTCGGAGTGCTGAGGTAGACACAGTTTCATATCTGGGGATTCACATATGGGTTGGTTTGACCTGAGCTTTGGGATCCTGTTGTGGGCAGAGTTTGTTTCATTCTTTGGAGCCCTTATGAAGACATTTTGCATGGATCTGGGTTCTGGTGTAGTCATGGTGAGCTCGGTGACTGCCTTTCAGATGTAAGCAGAGTTGACTTTGAATTTTGGGGTCCATATGTGGGCAGGGTTCATTTTGGGTGCTGTCATCCTTACGTAGACAGAAGTGACTAATAGATTGGGGTCCAGATGCAGAAATGGTTAGTTGAAGACTGGGGGTCCAGAACTGAGCGATTGAGGGTCATGATGTGGGTAGGGTCTGCTCTGGCATTTAGGGTTCCGTTACGGCCAGTCACAGCTTCAAGATTTGTGGCTTAAACATGGGCAGACTTTGCATATAGATATGGGGTCTTGAGGTGGGCAGGGTTTGTTTCAGATGTTAGCAGCCTTGTGTGGACATGGTTGTGGAGGATTTGGGGTTCTAATAGTTACATGGTTAATCTGGCAATTTGGGATTTCAGATTTAGCCAGGTTTGTTCTTGGTTTGGGGGTCCTAAAGTGGACAGAGTTTGTTTCCACTTTGACTTCTTTGCATGGGCACAGTTGCTGGAGGATCGGGGGTTCTGAGATAGTCATGGTTAGCCTGGAGATTTGGGGTTCAGTCTTGGGCAGGTTTTTTCTTGATTTTGGGGTCCTGAGATGGACAGGGTTTGTTTTGATTTGTCATCCTTGCAAGACCAAAGTGGCTGGAAAATTTGGGGTTCTGAGGTAGTCATGGGTAGCCTGGAGATTTGGGGTTCAGTTGGGCATGTTTGCTCTGGATTTTGGGGTCCTGAGGTGGTTAAGGTTTGTTCAAGCCCTGGCATCCTGGGGGGATGTGGTTGCTGGAGGATTTGGGGTTATGAGGTAGTCGTGGTTAGCCTGGAGATTTGGGTGTTAGTGTTAGACAATTCTGTTCCGGGTTTTTGAGTCCCGAGGTCAGCAGGGTTTGTTTCAGGTTTGGCATGCCTGCATGCACATGGTTGGCTAAAGGATTTGGGATTCCGATGTTCTCAAGACCAGCATGGAGGAGGACTTGGGGTTTGCTCTGAGTTTGGGGTCCTAACATGGGCAGGCTTGTCCTGGGTTTGGGGGTCCTGCTGAGGACAGGCTTTGTTTCAGACAAGTCTTACATGAACAGAGTTGACTTTGGGACCCGGGTCTCTTATGAAGACATGGGGAGCCTGAGGGTCTGGCTTCCAGGGGGATCCTGGCATGGACAGGATTCGCTCAGGGTTGGCAGATGCAGCCCATCCAGGCAGGACCTGCTTGTGGATTAGGGTCCTGCTGTGAACAAGGTTCGCCTTAACTGGGAGTCCAATGTGAACCTGTGTGTTTGAGATTGGGAAGTCCCTGTGTGGCTAGGACCCTAAGTGGCCCTTCCATCTGGGTTTCAGGGTGGCTGGGGTTTACGTCGACATCTGGGGGTCCTCACATAAGCAGACTTCCCTTTGGGAATCCAGCTTCAGAAGTGGACTGGGTTCCCCTGCATGTGGCCAGGGAAGGGGTCAGGGCAGGAGTCACCTTCGTCGAGGTACTGGAGCTGCTGGAGGTTGAAGGGGATGCCGACCATCAGGTCCAGCTCCTCCTTGAGCTCCCGCACGGTCATGTCGCCGCGGCAGTTTGCCACTCGGAACATCTCCCCCGTCTCCTCCAGGCGCACCCGCAGGATGAAGACATCAGGGGCCAAGTCGGGCGACGCGCTCCAGCCGCGAGCCCGGGCCGGGGGCTGCGCGGGGAGGGGCCGCGAGCCCGCGGAGCCCACCCTGGGCCCGCTGCCTCCCTGCATCCCGGCTCCCGCACCGCCCCTGCGTCCCGGATTGGGGTCCAGGCGAGGGGCGCCCCGCAGCGGCCCCGCCGCCCGCGTTCCGCCCGCACCCGCTGCCGCCCGCTGCATGGCCCTCCCGCGGCCGCGCGTCATCCCTGGCTCGAATGCGACGGCCACGCGTCATCACCGCCCCCGCCCTGACGCCCCGCGCGCCCCCCACCCCACTGTGACGCCCAGGCCCCGCCGAGGCCCCTCCCTGCCCGCCACCCGAGCCCTCAAGGCGACGGACGGACGGGCGGGCGGCGCCCAAGGGCCCCGCAGTCCTTTCCCGCTCCGCGATGAACAAAGGTGGGGTTACACGTGGCCGCGGGAGACGGTTTTTAAATAACGGAACAGGTCACAGGTGCTTCCCAAAACAACCAGGAGATTTACTGATAAATAGAGAGACATCGCCGAGCGGCCACGCTCCGACGACCTGCACTGGGCCCTGGCCGGATCTCAGGCCATGTCCCCACCCACTTGCAGCCTCCAAGCTGCTGTTAATGTCAGTTCTCTTCACCAGACAAACGGAAGGGGCATTCTTGCTGCTGTTAGGAAAAGGTTATCACTTCTCCACGTCTGTTTAAAATACGATCTTTGCATAAATTGAGATGAGTCACCTGGAGGAATTACAGGTAAACGAGGCTGTCACCATTGCACGCATGGCCTACAGAGCTGTAAAGTGCAGACTTTCGTTATAAAAACACTTCTAGCATGAACCAAAAAAAAAAAAATTTTTTCATAAACATGACTCCCTGAAGCAAATCTAGTCCCGACTTGAGAGTGGACTCCGGAAGTGGGAGGCATCCTTTCATGGAAACTTGCAAAACTGAATCAAAATCTATCAATTTTGAAAATGCTCTTGAATTCTTGACGGCAGAAAGATGCTGATAAACACACTGAAGTGGGGAAATGTCCACTCTAGAAAGGCTGGGATGGTTCTATTGTTAAGATACCTTTGGAGTCAGCTCTGCCTGGAAGAAACTCATCTGTGATTTTCCATTCATTCACTGGAGATGAGGCTGCGTGTTCAAGTAAACAGGAAGCTTACCTGTGGTGGTCAAATTACAAACACTCAACATGGTACCATGAATAATAAGAAAATACAAGTGCTGAAATGATGGGGTGGGAGCTAAGAGGGCAGGAGGAAACAGAACAGTCTTGGAAAAATCTGTTGTTGCAAAAATGAGTAAAATGTAAGCTTAAAAATTATTTTTACAGAGAAATTACTGCCATGAAAAAATCCTTGCATTGGGAAGGAACTCATATTATAGAAAAATGTTAACATAGAAACGGAAATTGTAAAGGTTAGATTATTTACCAAAGAGTCTACAGTCTCTCCAAGCACGTTGTGATTCAGCATGGAAATTATACACACCACAACACAAACTGAAGCTCATTTTTTTCCTTAATGGAAAATTAAGCTCTGTATAGAATACAAGATTCCAGCTGAATAATTCTACTTGCTGCTAGATCCACAGATTTTTTTAAAACACTCTCAATTTGTAGGCAACAAAAAAATTAAAAATTGCTACTTACCAAAGAAAAACAATTATCTCCATTTACTTCAGGCAAGTTTTAAAGACAAGACAAATTGACTGGTTTTGTTGTTTTTTTTTTTAACGTGTAGCTTCCAATATATTAACTCACTTTTAGACATTGCCTAAATGCTACCCTGGGGTGTGATTTGCAAGTCTCACACATGAACCTTATTATTATTATTTTGTTTTAGCATGGTGTATATACTCCTATCTTCCTTTTAAAAGAATTACTTAAATAGAATTTTGAGGTGGGGGGGGCAACATCTTATATACTAGGAAATTCAATACATAGCTTCAAAAATTTCATTAAAAAATAAAGACAAGACAAACAAGAAAGAGATCAAAGGAAAGAACAGAAATAGCTCACAAACCCCTAGCAGAGTGAGTGCTGAAACCCCAGAGGGGCTGTTTCTTCCTTTCTTCCCTTATTCTACCTTTGAGAACATAAAAATAGAAACAAGAAAAATGACATGTGCATACATGTATGTGAAATTTGTTCAAATGGTTAGACAATCTTAAACTATTAATTTTTAAAACCTGGTGAAATTCTAGAGCATTTTTCTTAGTCAAAATTTTAAATGCATGAACTCTAAGAGTTGTGTACTTAGGTCAATTTGAAGAGTACTTCATTGAACCCCCAAAATCACAGGTGCACAGAACTTGTGGGCAGGTTCTGATCAGAGCCAGGTTTTCCTTTTTTTGGTTAAGATTCTAAAACATTAGATATAAAGTCAATATCTATGCATCTTGGTTATCGATTTCCCTCCCAGGTTCTTAAAATATCTTAATATATTTTAATATCTTAATATATCTTAATATATCCCAGGATATAACATATCCATATAAAAATGAAAAATTCTGTTATCAATCTCCCTCCCAAGTTCGTAAAACATATGATAGCATATCCATGTAAAAATGAAAAATCTTTCAGCTTTATGCCTCTATCAAAGGCCAACACACATCTTCAGGGAAACAGTTCCTGTCAGGAGGGAGGAGTACATGCCTGAGGAAAAGTTCCAAGTAGAGTTTGTAACAAAGGCACAATATTAGAAAGATTGCCATCAATCATTCTTTAGAGTTCTTTATCACATTTTTTGAAAGTAAACAAACTGAACTATATTTGTAGCAACTCAAACTGGAGCATAGATTTAAATGATGTATTTGTTCAGCTCACTGATGGGGGCAAATACTACATTAATATATTTTCTTCCTGTCAAGAGTTATTTATATATGTACAGTATTTCATTTAAAAATAAAATATAATGCCATAAGTTATATTTTATAGGAAATCATAAGGGAAAGAAATATGCAGGTCTATAAAAGACTTAAGAGCTTCTAATAAACTACTCGGCAAGGGTGGGGGGACGTCAGATCATACAGTCTGCCATGGAGAAAATAACATGCTGGCAGGCAGCCTGATGGTTCGGAGGCTCCAGTGATCAGTTAGCCACCTGGTCAGCAGTCTTTCCACAGACTTACTGATCAGACTTGATCAGGAGGGCTCAGCCATCCAGAAAAAGCCCTAATCAGGTTCAATCCCTTCGGGGTACAGATGAGAGAGGGGTCAATCATTCAGTCTTTGAGTGCACAGTATGAAAGGTTCCGAAATCTCCACCAGCTGGTATAATATAATCAGTTCCCCTTCAAGTTATGATAAGCCATATGTGCCAAGCATGAAACAGCCAGACTGCAGTTCATCATAGAGTAGTTAATTCTGTTTTTCTAGTACAGTAGTGCCTATGATATTCGCTGCTTTGGTTCTAGGGTTGCAAAAAAGGAAACATCTTGGTCCCGATCTGACTGCAAAGCCAAGATGGGCTCTTCAACGACTTCAAGATGAGGGTTACCAGCATTTCTAAAATATGCTAAAGAGAGAAACCATGAGTCTGAATCATGAGTGCCATGAACTGTGCTCAAAACACACTCTGATTTTGGTTTCTTGTTAGCCACATGTCAGGACAATAAATCATTTTTAAGTCCTTTCAAATGATAAACTGCCTTAATCAAAGAATATTTCTAAAATGTTAAAGATGGACTCCTAACAGTTATGCATATTTTAAAAATTATACTATCTTTTTTTTCCTGCCAACACAAAAGAAATGGCAATGTGTGGAGCAGGAGTAGGCTGCAGGGAGGGTGGGGCAGGGGGTGAAGTGGCAAGAAATGTAAGTGGAGGGCAGAGTTCAAGGTATTTGTCTTACATGTGTGGTGTAGAAATAAATTACCCAAGAAACACAAAGCTTTTATTAAGTCATGTCCAGGTGTAAATAACCAACTAGTTGGGTTACAAATGTTTTCTAACTGACCACAAAATAATACCATTAAAACATAATAGGGGTTAAGGCTTACATTTGCTACCTTTCAGAATCTTTCATGTCATAACTCAAAATTTTTAAGTTTCCCTCATTTTTGGAAAGCTATGTAATATTTTGCATTTTAGCATACGTTTATTAAATGTGAAGACTGAATTACGTTCATTTCCTTAGTCATTTTACAAATAACATAAAATGATGCATAAAATTTAATATATTCATTTACAAAATAAACCTTAAGCGTGCTGTCACATAACCTGCCTTAATTTCCTAGAGGAAATCTCGTTGTAGCCTTTAACAACTGATGGAGTTTGCCTGAAATGTGTGAGTTCCAAAAAGTACTCCACCTACCCTTTTCCAATAGCACCTGCCTTACTTAGGGCCCTGGCTAGCAGAACCCTCACATTGGGCACAGGATCTGACACGAGGCTCAGAAGGCTGGGAAGCAGGTGCTCCACAAACTGGTCCATGGGGATGCACTCCTTGCTCACCACTGCCTGCTCCAAGAAAGTCATAGCCAAAGAAGTGATGTTTTCCAGCAGTCTTCTAGAAATATACACTTCTTTAATCCCAAAGAAGTCATTTCAAAATCTGTAAGTTTGAGGTGTGTGTGAATTTTTTTATCTCAAGCACTGCATTTGGTTAGAAACACAGTTAATAATTTATTACAATTTACTACCAAGCACTGGGTTCCAAGTAGGTTAAATCTGATGGGCTATGGAGTCAGAAAGGTCTAGGTTCAAAATCTAACTTGGTCTTAGTAGCTACGTGGCTTCAGGTTAAGTGGCTTAACATTGATGAGCCTCAAGTTTCCTCATCTGTACGATGACTGGTCTGTTATGCAAGACATCTAGGACTATGCCACCGCGCTGCACACAGCTGACCAGTAAGGATCAAGAACCCTCACCTCTGTCACTCACGGTGGCCATGGCTGTCAAATGACAGTCAAATCTCAAACCATAACCCAATGCCCAGACCTCTGTAAACAATCAGTAAACACAGTCCTGCTGTAGTCCTCAGCATGCGCACACAGCTCCTCCACTTACAAGACTTTACATGTATCCTCACACTTAATTCTCAAGACTAGCCTTGGAATTCAACAGCAGCCTGGTTTTACAGGTGAAAACAATTCATTTCCAATGTGGTGGTGACAGCCAAAGGTCTCATAACCACCAAGTGGCAGCAGGGTGGGGACTACAAGCCAAAGTGTGGATTCTAACTCCTGTGGCTCTTCTGGTACAGGGTAGTTTCTGTCATGGTGAATAGGCGGTGTGACAGCCAGTGCCAATGTTCCCCAGGTGCCAGGCACCATGCTGGGTAGCTTAGATCTGTCAGCCCATGAAAGCCCATGACAACACTAGAAGGCAAGCACATATTCCTAGCCCCCTTTAAGCAGTACACACGGCATCCAATGTGTAGTCTTTTACCTCTACCCCTCACCCTTCCCACCCTTCCCCACGACTCGCAAGAGTCATTTCAGATTTTCTAATCTCAGAAAAATAATTTAAAAATAAAAGCAAAAAATATTTCCTTTAAACTTTCTCTGCAACTTGACTCGGAGCACTGACTTTTCCTTTACAGACGGCCGTGCTGTCAAGACTGTGGTTTTGAGTTTGCTGTTCACTTAGCCATCCAGTGACCTCAGAGCAGACTGCTAAAGCACCCCTGTAATATCCCACTGGCCCAACAGGGGGCGCTGATGAGTCCTCTGGTGCCCGTGGTCATCAGGGACAAAAAGGGCACGTTGGTCTCTGGGGTCAGACACGGTCTCAACCCGGCTTTATCATACTATCAACAAAGTTGGGTGGCAGGTTCACAGAGATTCATTACACCATTCCCTCTACCTTTGTATTTGCTTGAAAACATGCGTAATAAAGTTAAAATGTTTAAAACAATACTTCAGCAGAAAAAAAAATTACGGATTTACACTTCCTGTGTGATCCTGAACAAGTGACTTAACCTCTCTGGGATTCAAATATTTCACCTAAAAGAGCTGGTCTAAAGGTAGACAGGTACGCTGTGCTCAATATACTTTTTTTTTTTTTTTTTTTTTTTTTTTGAGATAGAGTCTGGCTCTGTTGCCCAGGCTGGAATGGAGTGGTGCAATCTCAGCTCACTGCAACCTCCACCTCCCAGGTTCAAGCGATTAGCGATTCTCCTGCCTCAGCCTCCCAAGTAGCTGGGATTAAAGGCACCCACCATAACACATTACCTTTTATTAGAGAATTAAATGTGTGGTATGACGCCTGGCACATAAGGGGTATTCAAGAAATAGCAGCCATTATCACTGCCTTTGCCCCTAGGCAAACATAAATCACACCCTCATTTCCAAGAGGCTGAGTAGAGAGGGCGATCTGGGGAGCTGGACAGGATGATATGAACTCTACGTATTTACTCTAAAGAGGTTAAAGTCTCTGCCCCAACCCACTGCCCAATTCATCCCGCTGTTCTTCCAAGGCCACTGGCTAAGGTGAGGTGCAGTGGTGGACACCAGCCTGGACAGGATGGGAGTGGACTGTGGGCCTGACCCTTACCTTACTGGATGGAAGTGGGGAGAGCAGAGGCTTGTTCACTCTGTCTTTAGCATCTAGAATCTATCTGGACCATGGTAGGTATTCAATCAGTATCTATGTGGTGAGTGAGTATGCCTGGGGTACTCATTCACCAGCGGGGAAACCCTGGGGTAGCCCTGGGCAAGTCCCTTCACCACACTGAGTTGGTCCCAATGTCCTATGAAACGAGAGGGCTCAGTGAATAATTCCTCAGTTCCTGGCTAGTGCTCCAGGGCTGAGATTCTCTGTCTGGTAAACTTGATTTCATAACATGGCAGAATTATACCCAGAGTAGATCCCTGCTCGGGTCTTGCTAACCTGACAGATGAAAGCGAAAGCTTGCCTTCCAACCCACTTAGAACAGTGCCGGAACCTTATGATGAGTTCATTGATGAAATTTAAACCCAATGCACTTTCACTGTTGGAATAGAACTTCTGCAGAATTGCCACAACCTGTGAAAAATATCAGAAGAGCAAACTTAAAATGCGGCCATCTATTTGAATTACGAATACTACTCTACACGGAAACTAGACATTTTTATGCACCTTTCCACCTTTAAAATGAATTTATAAGCAGAGGAGAAAGTAATTTTTGTCATGGTCATCATTAGAACACAGAGAAAAAAAGATGTTTAAATATATGGCAATAGATACACACATAAAACCCTTCATAGAAATGAAATTTAAAAGGAGACTGACATTAGAAAAAAACATTATTAATCTTAAGGTTCCAAATTTTAGAGCATGTCCCTTGCTTCATAATAACTAAATCACTATCTTTCAGAACATGTCATTTTTATAAAACTTCAATACCATCAGAGTGTCTTAAAATCAATATTTTCAACTGTGATTTTTTTCATCAGTATTTAGCTGGTATAAAACCCACAGAAAAAACAGAATCGGCTTTTCTACAGTAGAGTCACTGCTCACTAAATATTTTTCTACAAAACCAAGCTGTAAATCAACCTGTATTTTAAAAAACACTAAGCTATTGCTTAAAGGGTTTCATATATAAAAGAATTAACCCATAATTTCCCTCATGAAACACATAACTTAACAAAAAAGCTATCCTACAAATTCATAAAACTATAATATAGTTCCTAATTTGAAAATTTAAAAGTTAAGTTTCACAGGTAAGCTGACAAATTAAGCCCAGAGAAAATAAAATAGTTAAAATGGAAGATACATAAACATTCCTATTTGTAAAAATCACAGAGCAAATGCCCTGATTCCTTACTAGTTTGAAGGAGATCCACCGAACTTCAGAAACGTTATCTGCACACAACTTTAAGACAAGGTGCATTAAGTAATCATAAACATCATTGGGACTATAGAGTTCCAGAATCAGTATCAGCTGTCTGAAATTTTTTTTTAAATTATTTTTGGGCAAAAAAAAAATTGATTTCTTTTTACTGTCCTTTCATCTTATAGATAAAAATAGCCAGGCTGGGAAATAAACAGCAAGAGACCTAGCAAGACTTCGGTCTTCAGTAAAATGTATCTCACACACATACAAATCAAACAAAAAGGAAATAAACTCTGTAAAACAGAGGCTGAGAAATTTATGAATACAGATTTAATATTTCAATTTTAGGTTATCAGTTGAAAAGCACATAAAACTTCAAAAATCAGATAACATAAAAATAGCCGGAAAGTTGAAGTACGCAGAGGTCAACGGATCAAGCGAACACTGCGAGACTGCACGACCGCTCCGGTGCTCCCGCATCTGCAAACCGAACCGGATGCTCCTGCTCGCGGCTCGCGACTCTCGGCAGCACGAGGCGGTTTCACTGCAGCGAGGTCCGCTTGGAGTGAACTGGGAGCGCGCGCTCCTTACTCCAAAAGACAAAAGCATGCAGGAGACGGCTGGCTGCAGAAACCCACTACCAAAGCTTTCACTACTTTCTTAATGGGGATGGGGAGAAGGGCATGAAAATAAATGGCATTATTTTCACCCAGGCAACGAAAGGAAATGAAAAAGAGATGAGGAGAGAGTTAGAACCAGAAGCCAGGAGTGCTGGTAAATACTTTCATATCAAAAAGCACTGTTTTCAAAAAAAAAAAAAAAATGATACCAATATCATGGGCACGGGAGCACAGAATTCATATCAGTCGCTGTGGCTTCAATAAGCCAGGAGATGTGAGATAGGGCGCACGGGGGGAGATAACGCGGTCCAGCGCTGCCGCCGCGCTGCCTCCCGGAGCAGCCTCGCCGGGCACCGAGCGCGCCCACTTCCCGCGCACCGCCGCTAGAGGTCGCACTGCTTTCATGGAAAACATGGGCCTGTTTTTCTCGACTCAGAACAGGACGCTGGGAACACAGCACAATGATTGCACCCTCAATCTCTCAAATTAAGCAGAATGATTAAAGACCACAGCAAAGAGAAAGCTTTCGGTTTGCCCCTGGCATCAGCCAAATCATATCCTGAATAGCTGCAAAGCCCGATGAATTTCTCTGGGGAAGACAATTATTTGAGAGATTTCTAGTAGTAGATGAGAAAAACGAAAACTAAAGACACCGAAATGAATTCTCAATTAAGGTGAAAACTAAATCCCAAATTCCCTGCACACCTTAAAGGCACATTATAGACCTTAGGAAGGGGAGTTATTTAAACTGATACTTTCACCCCTTCATCATCACTAAAGCCTGGAACATTCCTTTTGCCAGCACAAGACAGAATTAAATAACTCCTTCATGAACAAAATAATGTGCAGCTAGGATGCACCTTGGGGGACCTTTTTATTTCATAATCGTCTCATCTGGGTTAGACCCTTCCTGTCTCCCACGGTAGCTGAAGAGCATCAGGCAGGCTGCACCCTATGGAGAGGACCACACTCAGAATGTTCAGGAAATCTGGCAAAAACTGCTCCGATTAGGAGAACAATATTGAAGAGTGAGTGATTCATCTTTTATTTGGTTCAAGTAAATTGCCTTCTAGAACAGCAGAACACTCTAATTCCAAAGTGACTCGAGCCCTGTCTTCTTCTGAAAATGAATGTCTCCCCGGAGACTGGTATTTGTAACTTAGGGTTTTTGGAATTCTGTTTATACCTTAATAAAAACATAATCTCTTTATCTAAAAGAACACTATTACTGCTGCTTTAGAAATCAATTATACGGTAAGAAAATTAAGATTTATTCCATCTAGTTTGCTTTCTCATATCCCCAAATATGTTTTTACTTACTCTGCTAGCTCATAACGAAACCTCCAATTCCTGCTGTTACCAGTCACTACAAATTCTTGAAGCTGATAGTCTCTCCTCTTGTCTTCATGAAGCAACTGTTTTTAAAAATGTATATATAAACAAACATGTATAATCCTTCAAAATGACCCCAAATGCCCGCTTTTATTCTGTTTTGATTAGACATTTGTCACTGGCAAGAACTTTTGCATCTCCCCTGCACCTCGTAGTCTATTACCCAGCGTGGCTGTGAATGAACATTGCAGTGCACTGACATCAAATGCAACCCTGAATGCCTCCAACCTTTCCCCCTGGCTAGGACATGTGCTTATTATGTATTTCTGAATGCCCCTGAGGTCTTCCTCCTTTTGTAATTTCCTAAAAACAAAAACAAACAAACAAAAACCCAGTCTGTGTGTGTTGGGAAGACAGCATGCCAGTGCCTCTTCCAGGGAGCGAGGCTGCTGCTGTGCCCCAGGAGAGGAGAACCTCGGCTGCAGCAGCACACACCAGAGTCTGCTAATGGCAGCTCTTGGTCGTGGGGATGAGAGTAATTAGTTTCTCTAGGTCATTTTAAAACTCTTATTTTCATATTCACCATTCCTTTTCAGGGGGATGGGGGGAGCCAGAAGAGAAGGAGCAGCAATTTGCAGAAACAGAGGTTGAACTTCAGCCCAAGGTCTTCCCTGGGTGACTTCTGGGCAAGTCAGGTCACTACCTGGGGGGCCTTGGTTTCTTCTGCAAAGAGTGTGCTAGGCTGTGTGTCTGCCATCTTCCACAAGGACAGGAAAATTAGGAGAAAACAATTAAAAATATTTACCTATCACTGAAAGAACACCTACTTTCAGATTCTGGGTGGTACATTTCAGCTAAACTAAACCACCAAGCTGTTTTTTTCACTGACACGATACACATCCGGGGCTTCACACATTTGCTTGGGAGAGGGGAACCTTGTTTTTTGCTTTTAACCCTTCTTCCTACCTTTAGAAAATCATACAGGTGTTTAAGAACTCCTATGCGTACTTCATCCAGATCCTTTAAAAATCCATTGAAGATGGGCACCAGGTCAGCTGCTGTTAACTGATCCCTGAGAATCACAGCCAGCTTGTGAATGGAGAAGGCTAAGGTTCGCCGCACCTTCCACTAGGGGTGCAGAGCAGACACACAAATCATGACAAGCCAGTGTAATTCAATCTCTTCCACATCTTATGTGGCATTTTTGGAGCAAAATGAATACTTCCAGGTGTTAGCCACTTAAAGCTTTATTTCATCACAAACCAGTAAATATGCCAATTTGTATCCACATAAAATTCAGGTCGATAAGCCTTGCTGCAGCTTCCCTTTTCTCCCTAATGAGGTGACCCACCTCTTTCTGCACGTGCCTCTGAAAAGGCTTTACCTGTACATCAGAAGCCAGTGTTTCATATGTATCTTTCAGGCAATGCCAATTCTGCCTGCCCAGGGTCAGCGCCACCCCTGGGAGGCTGTAGGCACAGTGTGTGGCTATGTCAGTATCGACAGTCTGGGCTCGAGCTGGGTCAGTCATGGACACATACTGATCTAGCAGCGGCTGAGGTATTATATCTTGGGAAATGACAGAGAAAGGAGGCCATCATGTGTGCAGAAAAATACTCAAGAAAAACAAGGAGTTTGGAATTGAGAGGTGAAACAATAAAGCAGAAATGTGAAAGGAACAGGAGGCCTTCCTCAAGCAAAAGGGCTTCGGATTGCCAACAGTTTTCTCCAGGGAGTGGGTTTTCAATTTTGATTGAAGTGAAAGCAACACCCAGAACTCATCTTTTTCAGATTGGCACAATATGTGATATCATGGAGAACAGTCTAGATGGCAATGTCTGCTTAGGCTGGTACAGCCAGCTCTTGAGAATGGAGTCTTGCTTCTCTCTTCTTACAACTGCCCCGAGAACCTAGCACCTGAGACCTCAGACTCTGATACGGCCACCATGTGACATCCCCCATTTATGTTTATCTCAGTGAGAGCAGTGGGTCTCAGTGATTTCAAACATTCAAGGAAACTGACAGTGGAACAAGAAGCCAACCCACAGACAGAACTCAATCAAACAATCCAAGAAAAGAAGCTGCCAAAAACTTTTCAAGCAAAAAAAAGAAACAGCTTCAATAAACAGATACTGAATATCATTGTTAGATGTCCTATTTTTTCTTATTAGTTTGTTTTATTAAAAACACTATTATAGGTTGTTCAGAAGACTGTAAACAGTACCTTACAATTAATTTTTTTAAGTTAGAAAGAAAATATAAGCAACATGAAATATGAGCTAAAATATGTAATCAATACTGATGGAAGAAAAAATATTTGGTTCCAACAGCCATTCTTAAAGTTAACTTTCAGAAAATATACAGTTTCAGTTGCCTTTTTCTTTTTTTCCAAGAAACAAACCTGTAATTTCAATTTATTCTCTTCAAGTGGAGTGGGATCCTGCCTCTGGTCTGTCTCCAGATGGTCACTGGTTCCATTTCTGGGTTCACCTGGATCCTGCAGAGGCGCTTGGGCATGTTAACCAATTTGCTCTAAAGGAATCAGCTGTCCTGTCACTTCCCCTTCAGAGTCCTTTTTCAATGCCAGAAATTACTTCTGTAAGCCAAGGCAAGAACTTTCCTTGAAGTCAATGGTACCTTTCCAGATGTTAAAAACTACATTTGCACAGTTACATAAGATATTGTATAAATCAGTTCTTGCAAGTGCTAAGGAAAACTGATTTAATACATTTTAATTTCAAGACTGCTGGAGGTCCTTACAGAAAGACAAAGGCCAAAGTGAAAGCGGTGAGGAGCAACCCTGTGAGTTTGCATCCACTATTCCTTATGCCTAGCGACTCCCTGGTGTGGCCAACCAACACCCTTAAGAAATATTCACATGTTTAAGGCAGGAAGGGTGAGGTCTGCAAGAGATGGTAGAGCTAGCACCTCCACCATATCTTGGGAATCCGGGATTGCAGCAATGGTTGGCCTCTCAGAGAGGATGGGGGCTGGGGAACCCAATGAATCTGTGAGAACAGATGTGGCTGACACAGGAGTATTCACTCAGAAAATGGCCCTAGATTTTCACATGTACAAACACTCCTAATGTTTGCTAATGAACCTTTACATTAGGTTAACAATTAAAATGAACAAGAACATTCAATGGTGACATATTGGTCTCTGATCATTGATTAACATTAACTGGGATGGACCTGACCTTCTCCTTCAACCATACATGGATTTCCAACTTACATTTGAAATGTCATACTGTCTACCAGCTTAATGGATTCTGACAAATCAGCTCAATATATGATCCAGAAAAGTTGATTAATACACCAATAGATGCTTTGTTTGCTCTGAGGCACACCACCAGAACCTTCAATTCCCAAGGTTTTCACCAATATGTACTGTTTATTTTAACAGAGGACATGATAAAACAGAAATATTTTGGTATCATAACCTAAGACCTCAATTTCTCCAAGTTAATAAATTCACATACAGTAACAAGTTGTGTCATTTGAATCACTATTATCCCTTTAGAAATTAATTTTATTCCAAAATCTTCAGTGCAATCGTATGTGCAGCACTTACTCCAGGAGCTGAATCAAGGCTTAAGCAAAGCACCACAAGTCATGGCACCCCTAAAAGGTATTGTGAGTTCATTTCCCCAAAAAAGCCCCAGAGGAACACCAAAGGTGTGGAGTCCACCAGCCCAGAAGCCTCCCAGCCACAGCGCTTCTCCCCGTTGTCTTGTGCAAGTGAACATCTTCCTCATGGTTCCTGGAGTTTTTGTTTCTTTCCCTTCTTTTGCAACAGGAAGCATCCTAACTAATCCCACTAAGACCCTGGAGTCAAGCTGCAAATTCAAGGGCTCTGCCCTCCCACACCATAAAGCAAAGGCCCCATTACACAAACCCTTTCAAAGCCTCAACTCAAAGACCCAACCAGACCCAGCAGGGAGGAATCTGTTCTCTTTTTTTTTTTTTAACCTCTGTCTATGATAAAGAAGTCCAGTATCACATCCCCACCAAGGTAAATGTGGTCGCAATTTTTGCACTCTAGGTAACAAGGTTGACAACAATGAGTTTTCTTACTGTTTTAGCAACAAACCAGCAGAAGAGGATATCATCTCATTTCTTACTAATCACAGATAATCTTAACCAACTCTTACAGATTTTACGTTTGAGTTTTAAAATGCTTTATTTTGCTTTATTAGAGCAGGCCTAAGGGGTGAAGGAGGTAAGAAGTTAAATCACTGAAATCAAATTATAAACTGTATGAATAGAGAAACAATTGGTATTGGGGCCCTGGAGACCATGAATTTGAAGAGATGATCCATCATAGCACATGATAATGGCAGGGTGCTATCCCAGTGACTTTCTGGTGACAGCCCCTCCCTCATTTTAAGCCTCTATTCTGAACCCTAACTGTGGAAGATCCCAACTTAAACTGGTCCAAGTGGAAGCTTAGTAGAAACTAGGAGGGCTCAGGAGCCTCCAACTACAAGAGGCTCCCCCAAACTTCTGGAGAAACCTGAAGTAAGAAATAAACTGTGGGCCCCTCCTTTGGGGCCCTTGTCTCACAAGGAGCTGGTTCCACCCACAGGAGGAAGGAGGGTCGCTGGTGCTTTTTCAAAATCTCTCCTCTGAGAAACAGTATGCCAGGACCAGCACTGGAGCACCCATGTATGCCAGAGCTCCTAGCAAACAGGGCTGGTGTGACGGCCACTCTCAGAGGCTTCATCCCCTTGAAAATCTAGGAACTGCCTGAGTTCACCCTCCACTATTTTTAAAACATGTCATTGTATGTTAGCAGTGACACAGAGCATTTACATGGTTAATCTCCCCAAAGAACAAGTTCTTGTCATCTCTGGAGAAGAGGGAAGGTACTTTCTGGTGCCCACCCTATCTTCGTGGGAGTGCATCAGCACTATCAATCACCTGATTGATTGGTTGTCTAGTTATCCAAAACATGACCTTAAGAATAAAATGAAATTTGCCATTTATCATCTCTGCTGGGATATATTAATAAGAGAAAATGCAGCTTTGTGATTTCTGTCACATCGTCGGTGGCTGAGGGATAGGGCAAACACTTACTGTGCTTTGTAATATCCTGGCCACGGAGAGCTCATTGTGAGATGATGAAGCCGACAGAGTGATCTGATTGTCAGAGACAGAGCTGGGATCTGAAATGGACACTTCATTTAGACCTGCTGTCGGCTTGCTCTCGGGTTCATTCACAGAATCAAGCTGTGCAGCTCTCAGTGCAGCTGATAATACCTGAACTTGAGCTGTAGGAAGAGAAGTTTCAAGAATTTTAACAACTTTATTTGGTTTGTGGGAATTTACTTCAGATAAGTCTTCAAAACAACATAATCTGCAATAAGCTCCATGGTATGGGTATGCTACGCTGACACAGATCTGTTCTGGAGCGACGGTGCTCTGGGGTCTCAAGACAAGCTCTCAGCAAGGTGGTAATATTTCCGGCCATTAATAATAACTACCTCAACTAAATGCCAGCCATGTACAGAACATCAAACCTGAACTTGAAAAGTCTCAATTAGGTAAACTCCAAGTTTGACTCCACCATGTTTCACAGAAAGAAAGCATGATGTCACTGAACAAGGATGACCGGGAGGTCCGCCCACTCAGTGAAGGGTGTCCTGCTCCCCAGCTTATAAAGCAGGATGGCTCCTTTCTCACAAACACACACACACATGCATGAAGACATCCATTTACACACAGATGAGTAATGCTCTCACTCAGCCCCAAAGGCTGCCCATTCTTTCTGTCCAGAGTATGACTGTTTGAGATTCTCTGAACAGTAAAGATAACATATTTCACATACCTTTCTGTAAAAATAAACTGGACATTTTAATGTCCCCAACCTCCCAAAAGATACACACACACACACTACTTCCTGCATCCTGCTTCTAATAGTTCAATTTGGTGGACTCCAAGATTCATCAAAGCAGTGAGAGCTTGTAGCTGGCTCTGCACTGTGCCCAGGACAGGTCCCACCTCGCCAGTGCCACACACCAGGCCCTTCCCAATGGCCTGAGTGACATCTCCTGCCTGCCATGACCATTTCACAAATAAAATGTATCACTTATTTCTGAATCTTCTGGGATCTTGGGTCCCTCTGAGCTCTGAAGAAAGCTACGGGCCTTTTCTTACAAAGAAATTAAGTATGCACATACATGCAAGGTTTTACAAATAATGAGTTCAGGGAACTGAAAGAACCCCCTGAAACTCATCCCCTGACTTCTCTGAATGGTGGGTTCTCAGCCAATCTCTAAAGCCCAGGCCAAACGTCACCGGCTATGTGAGGGTCTCTCCCAGACATTTCCTCTGCACATCGCATCCCCTCCATCCCCAGCCCTCGCCATGCCCTACCAGGTGGCTGCCTACACAATCCCCTCAACCAGCTCACAAGGGCCTCAGGGGCCAGTCATGACTGCCCAGCCCCCAACCCAGGTCTTAGCACTGGGGATTAAGGCAGCTTCAGTACTGTGTTTTCCAAAAACAGACCTTTGTCTATAGCTATTAGAAGTGATATGTTACGTGTGCCCATTCCTTCAGTAAATATTGATTTAATTTCCTTCATAAATTTAAGGACAAAGAATAAAATCACGGGGCTAACTGAATTTTCACATTTCCCTTCCTGAAAGCTTCACAAATCTTTGCCCAGCAACAGCAGCAAGCGTTGTTTTTTTCCAATTTCTCCAATTCAAGGAAGAATACAAATATAGCACTGTTCAGAGAAAGAAGACTCCCGATAATGGATATGGATTGCAAGGTCTGGCTCCCTGATCAGATGCTCAGTGGGAGCACTAGTCATCAAATGAAAAATACCCCAAAGAAGTAGTTGTACTTTTCCTTCCTGTACAAAGACAAGGACCTTAAAGTTTAGCTAAGGGCTGCATTAATAGGCTCCAAAAGGAGCTCCATCCTTGGCTGTTCATAACTAGAAAGGGCATCCTACGTGGGAGATGATGTAACAGTGTGTCCAAGGAGCTAATAAAATTTCCCCTGCTACAGAGATGCCCACGCACTATCCACTTTTCTATTAGAACTGACTGCAGACTATGTGCACGTCCATCTGCAAAATTAGGAAGCAAAATCCTTGCATAGGTACGTGCACAGAGGTATTGCTTACATTTCGAGCTGTGCTGAGACTAAGCAAGTCTCTCCCCTCAATGCATGCACAGTATAAATGAACACAGGTGCACACACACATGCGTCAGCACACAGGGCAGGAGAAGAAGGACGTGACGAAACGCAACACACAGCACAGCAACATCCCGTCTTCTCTTTAGAGACAGTCAACAACATTTACCTCGAACATCTGGATCGTTCAGCATATGCTACTGCAAACTCTCAAGGACTTTCTGGATCTCACTCCGGGCCACACAGCTGTTGTGCACAGTCTTGGGTCTGCCGCAGTTGTCCTCTTGCAGCCCAGACTCACTCAGAAACAGCTCGAAGTCCTTGCTCGAAGTCCTGGGCAGGCCCAGGAATCTGATCCAGGGTGGCTGCTGATGGGGAGGTCATTAATATCAGAAAGCTTTGAGAAGGTGCTGGCCTCTGGGGAAAGCCTGGTCAACTCAGCCCCACCCAACACTGAGCTTTCCACGGGGTTTTTGGTTAGGCCATCAGAGCTACTGATAGGTGAGAAGTTACTGGTTTTCACTGAGGTCCCTTCCTCAGGTAGCTCTGGCTCCATCTGCACAGGCTTTGTTGAACGAGTTAAACTGAGAGAAGCAAGCTTTTAGCACTGTGTAATACACTGAAGTCACAGGGAAACAAATGAGACCCACATCCTCACCTAGTCCTCCACTTCCTGGCTGACCACTTGCCCCTCTTTGTGTCTCCTGATGTCAGCAGACTAAAACCTCACCACCTGAAAGTTCAGCCAGTGACTCCACTATATCCCAGGGCTGAACCAGCCCCAACTTCTGCTGAAGCACCTTCGGCAGATTTCATCCATTTCCTGCTGGTGAGTACCTCCACCAGGGGGCAGGCATTAGAAAATTAAAGGTGCTGAAATGGGTAAGAGCTGGCTATTTGTTAACCACTTTGAGGTCTTGAGGAAGACACTGCCCATAGCCTGCCATACAGCAGGAGCTCAATGAACTCTGATGGAAGAGGGATGGAGGGAGGATGGGCCAACCTCGGAAGGATCTGTATTCTGTGAGGCATCAGTTACCCACTCTTAAACTCCTGCATACTAGCAACAATGGAGAGATATTTACGAATGACCTCAAACAGGATGGCTAGTGTATACCCATCAGCCTCAGAGGAAAGACAAGAAAAAGCCCAGATCAAGAGCGATACTAGACAAACACAGGAGGGTCTACCACTGCTGGCCAGGACTGTCGCCTTTATGTACATGTAACCCACCTATCCAAAAAACTACATTTGGGAGGCTTCACATTTTTCCCTATGTAAATTGCCCAGAGAACTTCATCAATCAAAAAGTAAAAGAAAATTTTCTTTTTTTTTATAGGTTATTTAATCACTAATCTCAATGAATATTTTATCTAAATTTAGGAGACACAGTAGCTTCATTATTTATAACCCAGTAGTCATGTTTCAAAATCATTATTGCAATTACTTTTTGCTTCTTTACATAATTAAAGCCCTAATATTCCATCTTACCCAGAAGGTCACTGTTACTAAAACTCAAGACAAGATAGATTATTGCTGAAATTTCAGGTGGGTGCTTAAGGTGCACTGAGGGCCCTGGTGGTCACCTAGCCACAGCTTACCTGGCAGAGAAAGTGTTACCACCACTGCTGGGAGTGGGTGAGCCAGAGGCAAAAGCAGAGTTCACATCCTGGGTGAGTGGCCAGATGCTCAGGGCATCATCCTCTCTAAGATAAAGGCCAGCCCTGGAGGGGTTTGCAAAGGTGCAAATGAAGGGGCCGAGGGACTGGAAGGCAGCCTGGTGCACCTGGAACCAGAGAGAACAGCAAGGTGAACGAACACAGCATCAGCCAGCAGTGGTGGCCAGGCCTGATCCCAGGCTGAAACAGATGGCTGGACACCACACAAGCTACTCTCTACCACGGTACATCTACGGAGATTTACTGCTTTCTAAATCACTCCCCAAATTCCAAATAAACTATTATTCAACAGAAAGTAAGGAAAAATTTAGCCCCATTATACTGCTTTCATTCTTCCAGAATATTAATTTTATATGAATAATACATTTCATAAAGTATTTGAACAGACCTTATTAATCATTACAGACATGTTTATGATAGCAACAGAAAAGGTAACAGTTCAGTTACATAGTTTTCTCTTTCTCAATTAAGATTTTCATGACATTCATTCACTGTGTTATGGTGTATATCATCATCTTAATTCACCCCAAAGCTTTTGAGATTTTAGTTTCCCTGAGACCTCACAAGGTCTAAATCTGATTATGCCAATCCGTTAAGCGAGGGGACAAAATACAAAGTTACGAGTGTAGAAGTGAATCCCAGCCCGGAAGCACGATGGAGGTGGACAGTTGGTCAACAGAGGCCAGTGTCTGGACAGTGCTGCTGGCACTCACCCATCGGCAGGGGTCACTGACAAGTCTGATGAAGAGCAAGGAGAGCCGAGTTCTGCGGACCTCAGGGGAGGAGCTGCGGGACACAGCCGTGAAGCATTCCGCGCAGGCTTTCCGCATGCCCCACACAGAATCTGAGCAGAGCTCAAAGAACTTTGGGATCTGCCAAAGCAAGCAAAAGAGTGCTACTCCAATTGGAGGCCCTGACGAAGGGCAGAACCTGCTTTGTAATTTTTAAATTTTACTTATTTATTTATTTATTTTTGTGAGAGAGTCTTGCTCGGTCGCCCAGGTTGGAGTGCAGTGGCGTGATCTCAGCTCACTGCAACCTCTGCCTCCCAGGTTCAAGCAATTCTCCTGCCTCAGCCTCCGGAGTAGCTGGGATTACAGGCACGAGCCACCACATTCAGCTAATTTTTTTGTACATTTGGTAGAGATGGGATTTTACCATGCTGGCCAGGCTGGTCTTGAACTCCTGGCCTCAAGTGATCTGCCTGCCTCAGCCTCCCGAAGTGCTGGAACCTGTTTTAATGAAGTCATAAAGGTATATCCAGAAATTAATGAGAAAGAAAATGGAACTAGATACTGGTCTAAAAGAATCCTCTGAAACAAACAGAAATGATGAAAAGTGGAAGAAATAAACATTTCCTTTACCTCCTAATTTTAGTAACTGACTTGGGGTTATCTTTAACAGATAATAGAGAAAACCCCAGAAAGGGAAGGATGACTGATATTTGTTATGAAAATTCTAAAGAAGATTATGAAAGACTCTGAAACACTGGATGTTCCAACTAGCTCACCCATCCAGGTATCACTGTCTTTGACTAGGCTATTTTACAATTCTGAAGTGATAGAAGTTGATAAAACCTGATAGTAATGCAAATAATTCCTGCCAACAGACATGCAAATTGTGTCCAGTGAAATGCATCAATTATCAACCTGGATACTGACCAATTTTGAATTCATTTGTAAGTTCACTTCAGTATTCCTCAGTCTGACTATAAATGTGTAGTCCTTTGAGTTTTCCGTGAAACTGGCTCTAATATCTTACTGTTTTCCTCATTAATAAATGACTTAAATAAAGTCTTTGAAACATGTTCATATCATATCTCTATAAAGGTCATGATTAACATCCCCTTTTAAAATTTATCCTTTAAAAAGACTTTGTTTTTAATATCCTAATGTAAAATAATTAGCCTACAATGCTTCGCAAATGGGAGTATGATATAATCATGGCAATATCTACCTACAAATGATCAGCATATTACTCACTGCCGTTCTTCATTCGGATATATTAAGTAGAAGATAACATTCACTGTATATTCAAAGCAACAGCCCATTAAAAATTATTTTCTTGGGTTAGAACTGTGTTGGCATGGCTTATGCTTAGAATAAAATAAAATGAGCTTCTGAAGTTAAATTTAAAAATCAATTTAAAGATTAAACTTTTTAGGTCAAAAATCTCACCTACATAATGAGTATATTCTGTCAAATAAAAGAGGCAAATGCTTACTGAGCATGGTTCCCTAGGTGCCAGGTACTGACAGGATAGGCATTGAGGAAACAAGGATGAACACAATGAGGTCCCTGCCCTCAAGAAGCTCATCACAAAAGTATTATCAGCTCCTCTGAACAAATGCTACTAGGATACCGAGAAGGGAAAACCTGACTCTCTGACACCACAGGGAGGTGAGCCTAGACAAGGAAAGAACTTTGCAGAGGCAATTCAAGCTGGGTCGAAAGTGTGAGGAAGGTCCCATCAGGTAGGGAAGATGTTCTTAGTGAGCAGAGGCCCAGAGGTATGAAAGAGCAGGAAGCCTCAAGGATGCTGGAGACACCTGGCTGCCTGGGAAGTAGATCTCTCCCCTGCTATGCATCTGAACCATATTGGACTTTATGATTCAAAAACGCAGAGGCCTGGGCCTTCACCGGGCTTCAGATATATGGCCAGAGGTGAGACCCTGCCCCCAAGGCCAGCGGAGTGTTCACAATTGAGAAAGAGGACTGGAGGCGAGGCAGAAAAGGCACCTACAGAGTTACCTGGAAGGCCCAGAAGGCTCTAGATTTTAACCTGTAAACCAAGAAAAAATCCCAATGGTTTTGAGGCCCAGTTGTGAAGTGGCAAAGTAGTGTTCTAGAAAGAGCAGCAGAGAGAGAACAGAGAGAGCAGCTTGCACAGTAAGAAGAAACCAGGGAAAAATGACCTCTAAGGAGGTGACAGGAAAGAAGACAGGGGTTGCTTCCAGCCCATGCCACAGACCAGCTACTTAATGCTTAGGAAAATGTTAGCTTTAGAAGTTAAGAAATTTGAAATTAACAAATGCAAAATTGAGCTGCCATTCCATAGTAACAGACTTATAAGTATGAAACTTAAGCGATTTTGAAAGTGCATTAAGAAGCAAATCAACAATTACATTTGGCCAAAATGTCACATACCAAAAATTTCTCAGTGGCCTCTTGTCCAACAGCATGACAACTATCACCAAAATTTGCAGCGCAAACCTTAAAAGGGCAAAAGGCATATCCATTATTCTTATCTTTCTTTTTGTCTTAACACATTGTAAAAACTAACAAGAAGGAACCTTGAGAGCAATTATCCCTCCAGTCAGGCAGCTAACAAGCCCTTACCAAGCCCATCACCCACACAGCACCATGCTAAGTGCCTCCACTGCATCAAAAACAGATTTACAATAAGGTGCCAAATTCTAGGATTTTCTGGCTCCTAATTTATCTCGATACATAATGCATTTGGTTAGCAATAAGGCAAAAGAGGTCTTTTACATTCCCTGCATGGTAAAGGAGAAAGAACTGCTATCTTGCCTGTGTATCAGGAACAGAGACCGGAGGGGTGATGGTCAGTTACACGGCAAGGTGGAGGAGGAGGCTGTTTAGGGAGGGGCGGTAACAGACTTCAAAGGGAAGAATTTGATAACCAAGTGAAAAGTGACTAAAAGGGAATTTGGGGTTGGAAGGTACAGTAAAGATAAGAAGGTTCTGGATCAAATCATGACAGATAATCAAAGACCTTGCAATCCTGGGCATCTAACCATATCCAGTAAGATCCCCTAACTCTCACCCTGTGCCTGAGAGCAACAGGTTTACTCACACTGACGCATATCTCCAGGTCTCTATGCACTTCCTAATTGCAGTAAAACCTGGCAACACTGCTCAGATATTTTCCTTACATAGTTCACACATAGACTTTTCCCCAAGACTATGTCTACTGAAGAAGTCCAAAAACTTCAGAGAAATAAATTTTGAATTTTTTAACTTTAGGAGTTTTGGAATTCTTACATTCCTACCTTCCGAACTTGAAAGAGCTTCCCATCACCACACAGTTCACAGAATCGAGGAAGTAGCAGGCGTTCAACTGTATTCTTACTCAGCATGGAAGCTATTTTGCAGATTATCCATAAACAACAACAAAAAATTCAAATCATTTAAAATACCAAAACATATAAGTCACACGTAGCACTAAAGATATATTCCAAAAGCCAGTATTCAAAATATTCCTAAAATACCTAGGAAGGAAAAATAAAAAACATCTACTTTTTAGTTTTGTCAGGTTATAAGATCAACAGCACGCCCAACATTGCTACAGTTTGACGTGGATAAGGATTTGTCTGAAGCTCAAGAGTGACCATCTGCCAGGTCCCCACCTTGTGCCCAATACACAAACATACCAACTTTATGTGCATTGACTCGTTTTACCTTCCCAAGAGTCCTATGACATGGGTACTATTTATCCTGTTTCCAGAGGAGGAAATGCTACAAGAGGTTTAACAACATGACTAAACACCAACACTGGGGAGGTGAGACATCCAGTGACAGCAGGACATGGGAAGCACTGGAAAATGGCCAAATTCTGGAGAAACTAAAGAATAGACCCTACAAGAAAAAGAAATTGATTAAATTTTGCATTTATGCTGCTTTTTATCTGAGGGTACTTCCCATTCTACATGGCTATGAAGGGTAGCTGGACCCCAAGCAAAAGCTACAGGTAGAAGTCCTAGCCACAGCAGTCAGGCAAGAGAAAGAACAGACGGCATCCCCACCAGAAAAAACGATGTCAAACTATCTCTGTTTGCTGACGATATGATCTCATACCTAGAAAACCCTAATGACTCCTCCAAAAGACTCCTAGATTTGATAAATGAATTCAGGAAAGTCTTGGGTTACAAAACCAATGTATACAAATTAGTAGCACAGCTTTATACCAACAATGAGCAAGGTGAGAATAAAATCAAGAACTCAATAGCTACAAAAAATAAAAATAAAATACTTAAGGAGGTAAAAGGTCTCACAAAGAGAACTACAAAACACTGCTCAAAGAAATCACAGATGACACAAACAAACGTAAATACATCCCATGTTCATGAATTAGAGAATCAGTATCATAGAAATGACCACATTGCCCAAAGTAATCTACAGCTTTAACACAATTCTTATTGAAATACCAATTCATTATTCATAGAATTGGAAAAAAAAATCCTAAAATTCATATGGAACCAAAAGAGTCAGAATAGCCAAAGCAATACTAAGCTAAAAGAACAAATCTGGAAGCATCACATTACCCAACTTCAAATTATACTACAAGGCTATAGTAACTAAAACAGCATGGTAATAGTATCAAAGCAGAACAATGCAATGGGATGGAGAATCCAGAAATAAAGCCAAATACTTAAAAATAACTGATCTTTGACAATGCCTACAAAAACATATACTGGGGAAAGGATGCCCTATTCAATAAATGGTGCTGGGAAAACTGACTAGCTACATAGAGAAGAATGAAACTGGATCCTTATCTCTCACTTTATACAAAAATCAACTGAAGATTTTAAATCTAAGACCTGAAACCATAAACAATTTTATAAGAAAATCTAAGAAAAACTCTTCTGGATACTGGTGTAGGCAAAGAATTTATGACTAAGACCCCAAAAGCAAATGCAACAAAAACAAATATAAATAAATGGGACCTAATGAAACTAAAAAGCTTCTGCAGAGCAAAAGAGATAATCATCAGAGTAAACAGACAACCCACAGAATGGGAGAAGATATTTGCAAAGTATGCATCCAACAAAGAACTGATATCCAGAATCTACAAGGAACTCAAACAAATCAGAAGAAAAAATAAATAAATAAATAAATAATCCCACTAAAAAGTGGGTCAATGACATAAATAGACATTTCTCAAAAAAAGATATACAAATGGCCAACAAGCATATAAAAAAAAATTCCAAATCACTAATTATCAGACAAATCAAGCTAAAACCACAATGATATACCATTGTTACCCTAGCCAGAATGGTCATTATTAAAAAGTCAAAAAACAATAGATGTTAGCATGAATGTGGTGAAAAAGGAATGCTTATATACTACTGGTGGGAATGTAAATTAGTACAATTTCTATGAGAAACATTATGGATATTTCTCAAAGAACTAAAAGTAGGTCTACCATTCAATCCAGCAATCCCACTACTGGGTATCTACCCAAAAGAAAAGAAATCACTATATCAAAAAGACACCTGTATGGATGGATATGTTTATTGTTAACACAATTCACAATTGCAAAGATATGGAATCAACCTAAGTGCCCATCAACTGATGAAAAGACAAAGAAAATGTGGTAGTCTGGGCAACACAGTGAAATGTATCTCTACAAAAAGTAAACAAAACTAGCTGGGTGTAGTGGTACATGCCTGAAGTCCCAGCTAGCTACCTGGGAAGCTGAGGTGGAAGGATCACTTGAGCCCAGGATGTTGAGGCTGCAGTGAAGCAAGACTGCACCACTACACTCCAGCCTGGGCAACAGAGCAAGATGCTATCTTAAAATAAAGGAAAAATATATGTACATATATTTTTATATGGTATATATATTCCATGGAATACTACTCAGTCATAAAAAGGAACAAAATAATGTCTTTTGCAGTAACTTGGATGATACTGCAGGCCATTATTCTCAGTAAAGTAACTGAGGAATTGAAAACCAAATGCCTCATAGTCTCACTTATAAGTGGAAGGTAAGCTATGGGTATGCAAAAGCAAATACAGTCATATAATGGACACTGAAGACTCAGAAAAGGAGAGGGTCAGAGTGGGGTGATGGATGAAAAACTACCTATTGGTGTTCCGTGTACACTACTCAGGTGATGTGTACACTAATATCAGTATCATAGAAATATCAGTATCATAGACTTCACCAATATACAATTCATCCATGTTGCCAAAAACCACTTGTAGCCCTAAAGCTATTGAAATAAATACATATATACATATATAACATTTTTAAAGCTACAGTTTTACTATGAAGGAAGAAGGAAGCCAAAGAAAGGAAAGCTCCAAAACCTGTAATTAAAGCCTACCCTAATCCTTGGCTGATCTCTGACCTGTGAATGTACAGGGGAGATGATGAGGTTCATAGAGAAACAGTAACCTAATCAAGTGAATGAACCACACTGTTGCAAGGTGATATATTTTTGGAAAATCCTCAATAGAGGAATTAAAGTGCAAAGCTAAAAAACATTTGTTAGTTCAAAAGAAAACAGAAAAGAATTAACAAAAAAAAAAAAGATGAGACAAATAAAAACAAACAGAAATGGCAGAAATAAAACCAAACATATCAATAATTACATTAAATATAAATGAGCTAAACACACTAATTAAAGAGCAGAAACTACTGGACTAGATATAAAAACAGGACCCAACTAGATGCTAACAAAAGCAGAAACACTTTAAAGACATATAAGTTGGGAGTAAAAAACTATAAACAAATATACTATAATAAGCAGTACGCATAAAAATGCTAGAGTGGATTGCCTGAACCCAGGAGGCGGAGGTTGCGGTGAGCCAAGATCACAACATTGCACTCCAGCCTGAGTAACAAGAGCGAAACTCCGTCTCAAAAAAAAAATGTATTGCTGTCAAAGACGTTTCTTAATGATGTAAGAGTTAATACACCACATAGATATTAACATTAAATGTGTAGCTTTAAGTGCTTCAAATGGAAAAGGCAGGCTTAAAAATATTGTTTCCTCTTTAAAAAGCTAAAAAAAGTACAAGCAAACTGAGCTCAAGAAAAGAGAAGGGCCAGGCACGGTGGCTCACACCTGTAATCCTAGCACTTTGGGAGGCTGAGGTGGGTGGATCACCTGAGGTCAAGAGTTCAAGAAAAGAGAAGGGTGGAAATAATAAAAAGTAGAAATCAATGAAAAAGACACGAGCGATAAAGCCAACAATGCCAAAAACTGATTTGAAAACATAAATAAAATTGAAAAGCTCTTAGGCAAGACTGATCAAGAGAGGAAAAAAAAAATTACCAAGATCATAACTGAAAGGGGATAACACTATGGATCTTACAGACATTAAAAAGATAATAAAAGAATATCATGAACAACTCTAACCCAATAAATTTGACAACTTACATGAAATTAATAAATTCCCTGAAATGTACCACTTACCCAGTAACACAGATGAAGAAATCTGAATAGCACTATATCTGAATTAAAACTGTTATGAAAAACCATCTCACAAAGACAACTCTAGGACTAGAGGTTTTACTGGTGAATTCTAACAAATGTTTAAGGAAAAAAATAATTCCAATCTTAAACAAAACCTTTCAGAAAACAGAAAAGGAGGGAATACTTTCTACCTCATTTTTTGAAGCCAGAAAAATTCTGATTCTAAAACCTGACAAAGGCATAATAGGAAAAGAAAATTGTCCTCTTGAATATAGATATGAAAATCCTCAGCAAAATGGTAGGAAATTATGGAGAAGGGAGCACAGCAGAATGCCAACCAGAATCATCAATAGACAGCAACGCTAGTGGGTGAGGGTCTGACAGAAAAGAGCAGACTTAAATAGCCTCAAGGTAACTCTCCTCATTACTTCCAGAGGGAAAAAAGAGCACATTGGAGAAATTTGGCAGATCCTATGTCTATTAGGGCATCAAAGTTAACATCACCAATATTAGGACAAAATGAAGTCTTGTGCCTCCTGCCACGACACACTGGAATACATTGCTCCCATGATAATCCTGCCAGAAAGACACAGTCTGGATCCAATCACAGGGAAACATCAAGCAAAGCCAAACAGGAAGACACTATACAAAAAAACTATGGCCAGTACTCTTGAACATGTAAGTGTTACAAAATTCACAGACAGACTCAGGAACTGTTCCAGATTAATGGAAACCAAAGAGACATGACAGCTTAGTGCAGCAAGTGACCCTGGACAAATGATGATGTTTGCATATGAACTGTGGCTACATCAGCATTGTATCGGTGTTAATATTCCTAATTTGATCATTGTACTATGGTTATATAAGAGAATTTCCTTGCTCTTAGGATATATACATTGAAGTATTTAGATATATGCCGCTGTTTGTCCTTAATACAATAAAAAATTAAATTAAAAACATGAAGTATTTAGATGTAAAGAGGGACAGTGTCTCCAACTGAGTTTCAAATGTCTCAGAAAAGAACAAATACAGTAAATATGCATCTGTCTGTGTGTGTAGAGACAGAGGAAGAGATGGAGGAGAGAGAAAAAAAAATGACAAAACAAATGGAGCTAAATATAAATTACTAAAGAAGCCAGAGAGAGGTATATGTAAATTCATATTACTATTCCTGCAACTTTCTTGCAAGTTTGAAATTGAAACAAAATGAAAAGTTGCCAAAAAGAAAACTAGAAAAACTTTTCCATTCCCCCAACAAAGTAAAAAGAAAGGGAAGAAAGAACAAAAGAAGGAAAGAAGGAAGGAATGAAGGAAAGGAGGGGGAGGAGGAGGGAGGGAGGGAAGCAAGAAGGGGAGGCAGGGGAGTGAAGGGTAGAAATGGAGAGAAAAGAAAGGAAGGGATAGAAGGAAGGAAGGGATGGAGAAGTGCAGGGATGGTGGGAAGAAGGCCTTCCTGTCTCTGAAGTCTGTTCTTCTCACTATATACACAGCGCTGCCAAGTTAGAGTAGAAAAAGGTCCTGGGGCAGTAATCCTCCCATCACTCTATTTGGAATTTGCACACAAGAGGAGGGGAAAGAAAACCAAAGGGGGCGGGGCAAAGGGGAAACTTGACCATAACACAAATAAGGAAAAGGTTTGTCCTCAGAACACAGAGGACACATGTTTCTGATGTGATGCTTAGTGGAGTTGCACAAAGTAACAGCCACAATAAATGAGGATGTGAGTCTTCTGTATCCAGGATGACAGGCAACTAAAGTACTCCGAGTATCTCCATCCACCCCTCTCCATCTGCCACACCCACACGACCTTATTATTATACAGTATAAAACAAATCCAGAGTCATTAAGTGTCAGCACACCAAGTGACAAGAAATGATATTCCTGTGGCCCTGGGAACCACTTGAATGGAATGACGATCTTACTTAGTTGCTTAGAGCCAACTATTCTTTATAGCATATAACTACAACATTCTTCTTAAATAAATGCACAAATAAAAATGGGCTTAAAAATAGAAATGATGACAAAAAATGAGGCAGCCTTAATGTGAAAACGTGTTGAGAGAGAAAAATAGGCTTCTGACAATGAGTTATAATCTCGGAATGCTAATGGTGTCCCTGCAAGCAAGAGGAATTATAATTGGTCTCCGGTGGCCTGTTTATCCTGTCTAGATATAATTACAAGATACAGCTCTTGCAGTTTTTACCGATTCATTCATCCAACAACTAACATTTATTTAGTACTGACTCTGGGCCTGGCACTGTGCTGGCTGCCAATGGTGCAAAGATAGCGCAGCCTGGTGTTTTAGAAGCTCACCATCTTGAGGGAGACATAAACAAACAGAACTTCACAAGGCAACTGCTAAGTGACAGTAGACAGAGTCAACCGTTCTGACTGTATCAAGGACAGAGTCACTAACGTTGCACAGTTTCTAGAAAGACTTCACAAAGGAAAATGCACATACATTTCCCTTCCCAGGATTCCATATACCCATGTCCCAAGACGTAAGCTGTCCTGCAGAACTCAATGTAAAACACATGTGCCCAGGACACATGCAGTTGGTTATCTTTGATTTTCCCAATCATACATGCACTAGAGTTGTTAGCATCAGAATCAACTAACTGTAAGTTCTAATGAGAGTGAAAAGTCAAATGAACAGATGTATTTTGTCCATGAAAATGTACAGTCTCTTTGGGAATAGAGACACTTCCTTCAAAATGGCACTGCTCTGAGTAGGCGTGTGTTTATGTACAGTACAGATGTAGCAATATTCACACCATCTGCTTGCAAAGACAGCCCCAAAACACAGAGGACATCCGACCAGCCCAATTTGCTTCTTTCCTCATCTATCACCCTTTTAGCTGACAGCTCCCCAAATCACCTCCTAACAGATACACACTGGCACCTGCAATGTTTGGGGAATCACCCACAGACCAGCTAAATCAAAACCCTGCCTTCCTAGGGGAGCTCTACAAAGCACACAGGTGGCCTTCTCTTCTTTGAATGACACCCACACTGTAATTTACTCCACCCACATCATCATTTACTAGTTAAAAAGAAGAGACTGTGTTCCACAGCTCTCTGGCACTCAAGGGTCAGGTCCCCTCACAAGGCCCCTTGGCCTCCAGGTTCTGGGAAAATAACTGGAGCAAAGCACACGGGGGCCCAACAAGACATCCCACATTCACTCCCATCAGATGTTTACAGGAAGAGACGCAGAGGTCCTGCAGGAACACCGGGGAGAAACAGACAGGCACTCAGCCTGGGCCATGGTGGGTGGGAGGCTCAGGATCACTTCTGTTATTACAGCCACAGTTCAAATAATATCCATTCAAGTAATGACACTAGCATCTCACTTGGAATGAAAAATACAATTTCTGTGAACTAATTTGTTCTGCAAGTGATTTGTGGAGATAGCTTTTTGAAGTCTTGTTATATTTTTCAAATCTTTCTACCAAAATAATGAAGAAGAAGAAGAGGAGGAGGAAGAGGAGGAGGAGGAGGAGGAGAAAGAAGAAGACTGCTGACAAGAATGGAGTATTTGGAAAGAAAACAAAATAAAAATCATACAAAAATGCCTTTAGCATTATTTTTCATGGTATTATCAGTCTTTAGGGATAAGATATTTGGTTGTCAGCCGTAACCTTGGAAACTCACCTAACCAACTTCCAAATGAAAAAGAAGATCTAGTTGGCAAAGTTCACTGCTCAACTGCCAAATACCCCAAATAAATGATATTATCCAGGTTCATTTTGCAAAATAAATTTAATTTCTTATAGAGAAACTTGAAATTTATAAAAGAATCCTGGAGAATCTGAATCTTAATAATCAATTATTCTTCAGCCTGATTCATCTTATAAACATATGGAATATGCAAAATATTAAATTAGTTTCCAAAGCCAGACCTTTAACGCCTAGTTGAAAACTTTTACATAAATGAAGAATAACTGCCAAATGTTCTGATGCTGTCATATAATTTTTTAGCTCCATGGCGTATAATGTATCTGCACTTTAAAAAAGAAAATAATTCCCTTCTCTAACGTCACTGTTTCCCAAACAGGAAAACAACTATCGTCTATGTATTTTATTATACTCATAATGAATGCTTATGAGTTTTTACACCCTTTATGGACAAAAATTTCCCAAAATGCTGGAATCATCCTGGAGCTCTTTACTTCTACAAGGCAAACAGAAAGGGTAATGCCATACAGCATCATTTGCATGGGTCAGTGGAGGAGCAACAGCCAGATAAAACAAGATGGCCGCAAAGGAAATGGCATGAGGACAAACGGAGGCATCTGGACCTGAGGCAGGAAGAGCCAGCACTGGCTCATCAACTGTTGGTTTGTGAACAAGGGCTCCAGCAGCAAGCAGAAAGTCCCCAGGGTATAATCATTTAACAATGGGCGCAGAATCTTGCAAACCCAAGGATACCACACTATTAGCTAGAAGATACTGGGCATTTACGCCATTCCTTTCCCTGCACATCTCTGACTGACAGAAGCACAAATACTTTAACACAGCATCTCCCAAACACCTGCAAAGATTTGGCCACGTCTGCATTCTTCACAGTGACTCTTCTTAACTTGCTTACGTACCTATCTTAGTCTTCTCCTAATCTATAGACATACAAGTCTACAAAATTTTCTTCTTAACTGTCTAAGTACCGTCTGACATTATCTCACATACCATACTAGGGTTCCTACTTTAAGAAAGAAAGCCCATGGTCCAGGTTCAAGGATTTCCCTATAAATCTCAGCATCTTGTCCAATAGAAATCTAAGCCAGCTACTGCTGCTAAGCCCACATCACTCTGATTTCTCAAGCCTTTTCTTCTTAAAACAATTGGTGCTATAAGGATGCTCACTTCCAAAACATGCTAGAGCTGAACTGTGAGCTTTCTCCAACCTAGGTCAAGTAACTGGCTACCTTGTTCATAAGAACAGGGCTGACCAAAATCAAACACGTGTAACACTTCAAGTCAGGTATAAGTGAACTTATGGGACAGTGCCCACAGGTGCTGGGCATTCCCTGGACACACTTACACTCACGGCTTCTGCCTTATATTCATCATCACTGTCCAGGGCACAGAGCTGCAGCAAAATGGGACACACTGTGTTTTCAATATCATGCTGGAAAACAAGGTCTTGTTCCAGAAGAATCAAGAGTACTTCCTGACTTGATTTTCTAACCTAGAAGAGAAAAAAAGGCAGAAGATGAAGCACAAGTGAGCAGAAGTGCCTTCAGGATCAAGACCAACCCCACTGAGCAGGTGTGGCCCAGCCGGCCCCTGCCTAACTCCCCAGCTAAACACATTGAAGGGCACTGGATCTTCCTGCCTTCTGTTGCCCCTCCTGACTGAGGCCTTTGAATAGGCCACTCTCTCTACCTGACTGGCTACCATTCCTCTGCTCCAGCCCAAAGCCCCTCTGCTCCTGGACCCTGTTTGAGCAGGTCCCCTAACAACACTCGACTAGTACCCTGGACTTTTTCCTCCGAAGCTCTTGTTCCAGATTTCTGCATTTACATACATACAAACATATAGAGGCTATTTTCTGTATGATTTCATAATTGCCACCTGTCTCTCCTGTTGCAGAGAGTGAACTCAGAAGGCAGGTACCACATCTGACTTGTCCTTTGTCCTCCAGTGCACCCTCAGGACCTTGTAGCCTGTGGCACAGAATTTTGCATTCTGTAAGGATCTGTTGAATGAATGGATGACTTCTCGCCTTTTCTCCTTTGTAGGTAAAGACACAGGAAAACACTGCAGCATCTTCTGTTACTTTGTAAACCCTGGCATGCCACACATGAGACGGGAATTATGTCTGGTACAACAGAACACACAGGGAAGGAGCCCAAGCAAGAGCCACGGACAAAGGGGGATGCTCCCACAGAAAACAAAGGCTCCCCCAGTCCACAGAAGAAGAAGGCTGAGGAGCTCTTGTTCTTTGCAGTCTGCATGGGAATGAGCAAGCACTGGAACTCAGAGGGGTCCAAAGAAGCTTAAGAGACATTTTGAGGAAAAAGAAAGCACATAAATTCCAATTTATAGATAAAATAATGAAATATGCAATTCACCACAGTGATTAAAAGACAGAAAAATAATAATGGGAGCCAGAAGTGTACAGATGAGTCACAGATGATCAGTCGACAGCAGGTTATCAAAGGTTATAAAAGACTCAAGCCACAGAGGCAATATGACATTAACACTTCTGACCAGGTGACAGATGAAAACAGTATTTCGGAAAGATCACCCTGGCAGTAGTGTTTCCAGTCAACTGGAGACAGAGGGTAGGAGCTCAGGAGCACTGAAGAAATCTGGCTTCATTATCAAATAGCATGTGCAGCTAATTCATGCCTCACATGTTCATGCCTCACATGTTCAGTGACCATCTACAAATCTTTACTGAAAAAAAAAACAAAAACAAAACTACCAGGTGCCAGATCCTGTGCTAGGTCACCAAAGCCGATAAAATACAATCCTGGACTCTCACTCAAGAAGGCAACAGACACTTCAGCTTACAACATTTACAAGAGCCTCCAGTCCCACAGCACACAGCAGACAGCCTCATGAAACCAGACATCTAGCCTCCTGCCTTTTCCAGCCCAGCTGCTGCTCAGCACCCACAACCACACCTCTCTGCTTAACTAGCAATTCACCCATACTTCACAGGGGGCTGAAGAAGAGGAAAGGAAATTAGCCAGGCTAATCCTGAAGCACAGCGCTAGAGCACAGAGACAACTCAAGAAAGGGGAGCTGTATCAGTGGCAGTAGTCCTGGCAATAGCATCAATATTACCCCCAACGTTGTGAATTTCATGCCTCACATGTTCAGTGACCATGAAAAATACTTGCTGATAAACAGAGTAGGGCCAGCTGGCCTACTGAGGCAGATGCTGGCTGGGACCTAGCACACCCATCCCATCCCCACATGCACAACAATCTTCGTCTTTGCTGAATTAAGAATCCTAATTAGGGACTTTTAGGTGTTCTCAGGGGCCCCCACTGTGGATGTCAAGAGTCCACATCTGTTAAAGGAAGACAGGGACTGACAGAAGAGAGGAGGGGGCATTTGGGAAGGGCAAGATGGTCAGAATCATAAGAACAGAAGGGACAGGCAGATGCCAGCAGAGTCAAGGGCAGAAAGGGACAGGTGCCAGGGAAGAAGTCTAGGCTGTGTCTCAGAGAACCAGAGTTCAATGAGAAAGAATTTCTGCACTTTTCTGTTTACAAATGGTGGGAATGAAAGGAGTGATGCCCTCAAGGGGTTAGGTACTTTTGATGCAAACAAAGGAGACAGGGCTGGCTCTAACTGGATGAAGGAGGGGAGGGGAAAGGACTTGTCAGTTCCTGGGTGGCAGCTCTGGGGAGTGTGTGAAGTAGGTGGTGGTTCCCTGCACGGAGAAGGGGATGAAGATTGAAGGTCTCTATTTTGCGATGTAAAAGGCAAGGTCACTTGCTTGGCGCAAGGAAGGGAGAGGGGAAAAGGCCTGATGAAAGTGGCAAAGGTCTAACAGAACTGTCAAGGATAATGGGAAATGCAGCTGATGAGGGACAAGGGAAAGGACTGCCAAGCAACGCTGCAAGCCCAGCCGCGACTGGAACCCATAAATTTGCAACGGCACCAATCAATGCATGATGGGACTCCCTCTGCCAAGCTCAGCTACCAGCAGTGGAGGAAGCCGAGGGGCTGGGGAGGACAGGCAGAGCCAGTGTGGCAGAAGCAGTATCAAAAGGATAAGTAAATAGAGGGTGATGGTATGGATGGGCTTGAAAGGGTGGGACGAGAGAGGGAACTGCTGAGGAACAACAGGAAGTAAATGCAGGCAGGCAATAGCGGCTGCAGAGCCAGAGGCTGCTGGGGCAGGAAGGCCCAGGGCGGGGGAGCAAAGAAAGGAGGGCAAGCTGTGGTTGGAGTGGAAGTGCACGTGCAGAGGTGTGGCAGATCTGGAAGCACTGGGAGGCGGGCAGCAACTATGGTGCAAGGAAGGCTGGGTGTAGACACAACTTGGGCTGACCATGAGCATGCCTGCTGAGGCCATGAATAAGACTCTTCAGCAAACACAGAATGGGTGTCAGGCACCATGCTAGATCCTGGGGTCAAAACCAGCTTCCTGCCTCTGCCGTTCTGGAAGAGAAGATACGGCTGTGCTACTGGACAAAAGTCAAGAAATGTCAAACCTCCTGACCCAGTGTACTCTAATTTTCGAGAATGAATACAAAGGAAAAGTCAATAAAAGAACAAAACCACATCCCTTCGGACGCTCAATGCATCTACAATACACACATACACACACAACCTGAATGAAATATAAGTATTCAACAAAATTAAAAATATGATGATGATGAGGAAACAGTGTTTTACCGCATCTATGATGCGGCTTTCTGAGGGCAGAAAATCTGTACTGCTCAGCTCCCTATCCCCAGGCATGAAGCATTGTGCTTGGCTCATAATGAGCACTAAGAAACTGTCTGAATAAATGAATGAATGGAGAAATTGTATCACATTATGATTAGACCTATGTGGAAAAGAATGTTGGCAACTAGAGAGGAAAATGCAAAAATAATCAAAATACCAACTGTTAGAATAGTAGAAACAGGAGGACTTTTTTCCTTATTTGAAAACTCCACTTAATGCTGTCACACTGCTTACCAGTTAAAAATGAGTGCTTGTTCCTTTGAAAATGCTTACATCAAGGGAGAAATAAATTTTAGAATCTCTTGAAAATAATGATAGTGAAAACATGGCATATCAATAAAAATAAAATAAATTTACCCTTTGTGGAAAGCCATCCCCAAATACGCTGGCCCAAATAGAAATGATGCAAGTCTATTCACTGCAGCCATTGTAAAGTGCCAAAAGTCTGGAAATAGCCCAAATGTCCATCAATAAGCTCTGCTCTGTTCCCTCAGTGGGGTACTGCACTGCAAGGAAAGGAACAAGTACGCTGCAGATGCTGGCGCCTGCTTTCGGGGTACTCAGAGCACACGGCACAGGGAGGCAGGAAGAGGGAACTCCTCGCACCCAGGAAAGGGGCACGGCCGTGCAGAATGCAAGAAATCATCTCAATTGTTTACATGTGTGTGCACATGTATTTTAGAAATGAAGCAAAAACTAAAAGAAACAGTTACCTACAGGGGAGGGAGAAGACGTGAGGACCAGGGATAGAAGTCAGACTTCTCTGAACGTGCTTTGTTTTACAGTTTTGACTTTGCAATCAGGTAAACATTTTAAATAATTATAAATCAAAATGTACAAGCTAAAGCAATTTCTAAAAATAAAAAAAACAAATGAGAATAACTATATATCAGGTTGGTGGCTTAACCACAAAGAGAAGGATTAATGCAAGGGACTTTAAAACACAGTAACACGAATATGACTGGGCACCTCTAGAAGGATGTGGCCTAAAAACAAAGGAATTAAGAAGTCTTAAGCTATGTTCAGTAACCCCATCACATTGCAATACAAGGACTTTTATTTTGGATACACAGACATATACATGTATGCTAATGACATCAAGAAGCAGGATTTAGATCATGCAAGTGAAAAAAGATACAACTAAAAATCAAAGAAGTAAAACCCCTATAATGCTAAATTTGAGTTGGAAATATCAAGATAAACTTGAAGAATTTTTATCTTTTAAAAAATTGTTCTGTCACTAGAAGCAATGAGTGCCCCCCAGTACCCACATTCCGTTTTCATACTATTTGCCTCATAAGGAACCTGGGTTCTTGGAGAAATGGTTGATCCCAGGGAGAGATGCAGTATCACAGTGTACTGGGTCATATTTAAAAAGATTCTGTAACTAACTTGAAGGGCTACAACTGGTCAAAGCTGGAACAACTCCATCATCAAAAAGAATAAGTACTACAACAGATTGAAACATATCTACTGTGTTAAAATGCAGGAGTTCCTAACAATACTCAAACAAGGTTTTAAAACCTAACTGGCAACCTTTGTAGATTATTAAAATGCCAACGATGATTCTGGAACTAGTAAATAAAGGGATAAAATAAAGCATTTATTCTGTCTTTCATACTCAAACAGGTTTTCAGGGCTATCAAACAGTTGATAGAGAAAGTTTTTTACAGAAGAATTCCAGCTATTAAACTAAAAAGAAATGTTGGAATTAGTCAAGGTTTTCAGGACTATCAAATATTGATAGAGAAAGTTTTTACAGAAGAACTCCAGCTATTAAACTAAAAAGAAATGTTGGGATTAGTATGTCAGAATTTACAGACTCTAAGAGATACTGGATCAGGGCAGCGATCACCAATGGTTGCTCATACAATGATGGGGAACTTTATAGAAAAGGTGGCCAAATTCAGTATTAGGAAAAAACAACCATCCAGAGCTTTTGTGCCCCCTGATTCAACATAGCAGGAAAACACAAACCGTCTACAAAGTATTCTCTCTAAACTAGAAAATCTGAGTCTAGCTGAGCTTCCAACTTAACTACTAGTTTATAAGAAATGCCTGGAGTAAAGCAACATCTGAACAATACAGAGATGCAAAGAACCATATCCCAAATATGGGCAATTCTATAAAACTAATGACCTGGCTTCCTCAACAAATAGCAAGGGAAAAAAGTGGGAAGGGGCAGCATTATAAATTTTAAAAGATCTAAGAGACCTGTATCACCTAGATTCAATGTGTGGACCTTGTTTGTATTCTGGTTTGAATGGCCTCTGTGCAAATAAAAATACCTATGAGAAAACTGGGAAATTGGACCAATGACTAGACATTAGATGATGTTAGATAACTACTGACAATTTTTATATTTGCATTAATGATATTATCATTACGTTTTTTAAAAAGAGTATTTCATAGAGAATAATACTAAAAAGTATTTTCAGCTGAAATGAGATGGTGTCTGCAAATTATTTTGTCTGGATTGGATTTTATTGGGGCAAGATAAATGAAAAAAGATTGAACAAATGCTTTTTTATTTTTTTTTTTTTTGAGACGGAGTCTCACTGCATCACCCAGGCTGGAGTGCAGTGACATGATCTTGGCTCACTGCAATCTCCACATCCCAGGTTCAAGCAATGCTCCTGCCTCAGCCTCCCAAAGTAGCTGGGACTACAGGCACATGCCACCACACCCAGCTGATTTTTGCATTTTCAGTAGAGACAGGGTTTCACCATGTTGACCAGGCTGGTCTTGAACTCCTGACCTCAGGTGATTCACCTGCTTCAGCATCCCAAAGTGCTGGGATTACAGGCGTATGCCATCGCACCCAGCCAGGTCAAATGTTAATGACGGTTGATAGTAGGTGTAGGGCACACAGGCATTCATTTTCATATTCTCTCTACTGTTATGTGTGTTTGAAAATTTCCACAGTAAAATGTTAAAGAAAAAGAAGAAAGATTTCATGATAAGAATGAGTGTTATCTTCCTACATGACTAGAGGAACCGTACACAGATAGATGTTTTGTTCTCAAATCACTTAACTCTAAGAAGCTGTTTTTTGAATTATGAATATCAGCTAAAACAAGACTAAAGAGCATTTGCTAAAGAGATCTTAAGGTTATAATTTTTCAAACCTGATTGTTTGGATCTGTGAGGTTCCTCACCACAATAGGTAGGAGATATTCAGAGAGCACCACTGGAAAATTTGATCTGTTTTCTTGTAAAAAAATGGCAATAGGAGGAATCTGTTCCATCAGCTCAGTCCGCACTGTGGGCTCTGCAGCAATAAAAAAAATTAGAAAAATTAAAGAATAAGCCAAGCATCTTACATAGTATATACTGATAGTTTCTAGCTTTTCTTACTAAAATACTTCATCAAAGAAATTAGACAAATGCAGTTTAAAAATCATTTCCCGTTTAGAGTATTTATGCTACAGACAGGCTTAAAAAGCTAATGAGCTATACAGCAATATAAAAACATAAAAAGAAGAGAGAATGACAACTCTATTATAACAAGCCATATATAAATTGAGGAGGGAGGAAGAAGTCTGCATGCTGGGCCAGCGTCCAAAAGCCATTACAACTAATGGCTTATATGCCAGACCTATGGGTTGTGCTTATTTAAATTCTAGCCAGAATGTATACATTATAAATAATTTTTTCATAAATGCACTCCCCCACAATCCACGCATCCCAATTATTTCTAAGGCAAAGCATTAAACAAAAGAGTGGCTCTAGCTCCAATATACCACATTAAATTTAACACAAATATATAATTGCTACAGCACTGTAAATGGTGACTCATTTACAAAGAGAATCCATTTAAAGACACAAAACATCCACTTGGGCCTTTTTAAAAGCATTGTGTTATATTCATATGAATATTTTAAACTAATATGGGAGCTAATACGGAAGTCTTATTTTTCTATTTTCAGTTAAAATGATCAAATTCTAAAGCCTGAGAGTCCTGAAACTTTCTGAAGTTCTCATCATTCATTCTGTAGGGAGGAGGGGGCTGCAGCACAGCTCTCAATACCAGCCTCCCCACCACTTATCCATATAACTCATCTCTACTGGGGCAGGGGGAAGACAACATCATCATGTCTGCCGTACAGCAACGTGCTTTCCTTCCAGAACACCAATCATGGAGAGGTAGAATGAGAAAGAAAACTCGAGATTCCCCTTGAGGGAAACTAATAACTGGGATTTTCTAACCCAAGAGGCTTCTTTTCATTTGGCATTTCTTAGCAACCAGTAGTCTGGCAAAACTCAAGAAATACAAAAGGCCTAAATGCCAAGGCAAACAGTATTCACAGCCATTAATCATTCTAATTTTCTAAATGTAAGAAAATTTCAGTCAAAATTCAAATAAGACACCCATTCTTCATGACAAAATCCATTCGTGGTTAGAAATTGCTTAAAAGTTATTAATTACAACTGTTTATCGATTAATAGTTTTTTAAATTAGCTATTATTGGTTATATGTAATTTCTTAAAAATTCATAAGTAAAAAATAAAATTATACAATACTTATACAAACCTGCATCTTCTGACAATCTGACCACAATCTCCATTACTGTTAAGAAGTCCTCTTCGTTGTTACTGAAGCCCTGGAAGATATCAAGCAGCCCTCTGGCAATAATCTGCCTATGGAGACAAAAACAATGCATATGGTTATTTGGGCCATACTGACTGAGGGACCACAAGGTTCCAGGAATTGTGCTAAGAGCAGGTAAACACACCTTGACACAAGACAAACTGAGCAACCTGTGTCCAGGAGGACGGAGACTACCTGGGAATACCCAAAGACAGCCGTTCCAATGCAGGCCAGAGTCCTACAGGAAAGAAGGCCCCCATCTTCTAGTCTGGCAGTCATCAGAGCTTGAAAATGTCCACTTGAGAATAAGGGAAAACCCTTTTCTTATTTTCTGACTGGTTCCTCAGGCCTCCATAGGCTTGGAAGAAAAGCCCAAGACAGTTAAAGGGAACTAAAGGATCAATAAATGCAGAAGAAAAAGGTCCAAAGAGGCATCTGATGGCCTCTTAGTGACTGAATGAGGAAGTGCAGACTAGAAATTCTGCAGAAATTCTCTCAGAAAGTCTGGAGAGTTTTTTAAATTCAGACATTTCTCTACATTTATTTTTACTTTCTTACCTCCCTGTGCTGATTAACCATAAAACTTATAAAACGAGAAGGACCTATAGATGTTTACTTTGATGGGGTTAAGGAAAGGAGGAGCTGGAGAGACTGCATCCCACTATAGGCAGAACTGGTCAAGAGAACCAAGATAGAGTCAGAAGTGGCAGCTACCAAAAGGAAAGCGAAGTCACCACAGTCCACCAGCCTGAGCAATGGACAGAAGAACAGTAAGTCAGCCTGAGGCTGAGGAGAAGGCCGAGACTCAACTCAGGAAAGTCCCACCACAAGACTGCAAGCAACAGAGGTATGATGGGCACTACGCCATTCTATACAGAGAAAGCTCTGGCCATGGGGGGAGACAATGTGACTGTCATTGCAGGACCAAGTGACCATGTCCCATCATAAGCATGATCTGAGCCAGAGCTACAGAAGGCCTACTGAGAAGAAACATCAAAATCTCTCCAGCAGCTAATTCCATCAATATACTGATCAATGAAGCAGGGCAGGGGTGGGGGACACCCTAAGGTGTGGGGCCTTCCCTAAGAGTGGACCCACATGCCCAGGAGGCCACTGTGAACTGTGGCTAGCTCTGGACCACCAAAGACAGAAAATTAAAAATGAATAAAAAACTCTTTTAAACATCCAAAAACATCTATCACCAGCAGACTGAACTATAACAATGATAAAAAAAACGCTTCAGGCAGAAAGAAAATGACACCAGATGGAAATCTGAATATACAGAAAGGAATAAAGAGCACCAGAAGTGGTAACTACATATATATATATACATATACATGTATATATATGTATACATATAAACTTTTATCATTTTTCTCCTTAAGAAATAATTGACTAAGTTAAAAATAGCATTTTATTACTGTGGCTTTATAACACATATAATAAAATACATGACAAAAATAACATAAAGACCAGGAGAGGGGAAACAAAGGCATATTATGATAAGGTCTTTATACTATACATGAAGTGGTAAAATACCACTGGAAGGTAGACCATGATAAGTTATATATACATACTGTAAATGCTAAGGCAACCACTAAAATGAAAAAACAATGAATTATAACTAATAAACTATTTAAAAATCAAACCAAAATCACAAAAAAGTTCAATTAACTCAAGAGAAAGCAGATAAAGAACAAAACAGATGTGACAAATAGAAAACAAACAGCAAGATGATATACTTAAGCCTAACTTCATCAACAATTACATTAAATGTAAATGGTCTAAACATTCCAATTAGAAAAAGATTAACAAAATGGATAAAAAACAAGACCCAGCTACATATTACTTATAAGAAACACACTTTAAATATACAGATGCAAATAAATAATTAAAAAATATTTAAATATACAGATGCAAATAAATAATTAAAAAATATATTCTGATAACAATAGTCCAAAGAAAGCTGGAGTATGCTAACATCAGACAAAACAGATTTTGGACCAAAGAATATCACCAAGGGAAAAGGTCATTTCATAATGATAAAGGGGTAAACTCATGAAGAAGACATAATTATCTCAAATGTATATATGCCCAATAATAGAGCTTCGAAATACATGCAGCAAAAAACAATACAACTGCAGGGAGAAATAGACAAAAGTCAATGTCAAAGTCCAGAAACAAACCCACACATATATCAAGTGATTTTTTTTTTTTTTTTTTAACAAAGATGAACAGGGAAAGTCTTCAAAAAGTGGTGCTAGAATAGTCATATTGGGGGGGAAAAAAGAACATTGACTCATTTCACACCATACACCAAAATTCATTCAAAAGACCATATATCTAATGTAAAAATGAAAATATAAAATTTATCGAAAAGAAAAAAAAATCTTTGTGACCTTAGGTTAGACAAAGATTTCTCAGGAGCCAAAGTATACAAACCATAAAAGAAAAAAACTGACAAATTTGACTTCAACAAAATTTAAAACTTTGCTCCCTAAATCACACCACTGAGAAAATACAAATGATGAGCCACAGAATGGAGAAAATATCTGACTAAAACTGGTTTCCAGAATATATAAATAATCCTTATACTCTCATAACTCAATAATAAACAGACAAACATCCCAATTAAAATAATATGTGTTCATAAATGATCCCAGCACATTATTAATACTAATAACCAAAAGGTGGAAACAACCTAAATATCAACTGTTGAATAAATAATCAAAATACTATGTATCCATTCAATGGAACATTATTAAAGGAATGAGGTACTGATGCATACTACAACATGATGTAGTATGCTTTTTTTCTTTTTGAAACACAGGGTCTCACTCTGTCACCCAGGCTAGAATGCAGTGACACAACTGTAGCTCACTGCAGCCTTGAACTCCTGGGCTCACGTAAACCATGGATGAATACTGAAAACAGCATGCTAAGTGAAAGAAGTCAGTCACAAAAGATGACATAGTATATGATTACATTTCTTTTTTTTTTGAGACGGAGTTTCGCTCTTGTTACCCAGGCTGGAGTACAATGGCACAATCTCAGCTCACCGCAACCTCCGCCTCCTGGGTTCAGGCAATTCTCCTGCCTCAGCCTCCCGAGTAGCTGGGACTACAGGCACGCGCCACCATGCCCAGCTAATTTTTCGTATTTTTTTAGTAGAGATGGGGTTTCACCATGTTGACCAGGATGGTCTCGATCTCTTGACCTCGTGATCCACCCACCTCGGCCTCCCAAAGTGCTGGAATTACAGGCTTGAGCCACCGCGCCCGGCCTATGATTACATTTCTATAAAATGCCTGGACTAGGCAAATCAGTGGAGACACAAAGTAGATGAGTGGTTGCCTAGCAGTGGCAGACTGGAGAGGAATGGGTAGTGGTTGCTAATAGGAACCAGATTTCTTATTGAGGTGATAAAAATGTTTAAAATTCACTGTGGCAATGTTGCACAACTCTGTGAATATACTAAAAACCATCAACTTATACACTTGAAAACAGTGAAATGTATGACCTGTAAGCAAACTAAATCTCAATAAAGTTGTTTCATTCTTTTAAAAAGCAAAAGATTTTAACAGCTTCACAAAAGAAAATGTACAAACAGCCAAGAAATAAAAGAAAAAATTCTGAACATCACACGTCTTCAGAAAACTACAAATTGACCAAGCGTGGTGGCTAACACCTGTTATCCCAGCAGTTTGGAAGGCCAAGGCAGGCAGATTGCTTGAATCCATGAGTTCCAGACCAACCTAAGCAACATGGTGAAACCCCGTCTCTACAAAAAATACAAAACTTAGCAAGGCATGGTGGCATGCACCTGCAGTCCCAGCTACTCAGGAGGCTGAGGTGGGAGGATCACTTGAACCCAGGAGGTAGAGTTTACAGGGAGCTGAAATCACACCACTGTACTCCAACCTGGGTGACAAAGCAAGAACTTGTTAAAAAAAAAATGTCAAGATCATGAAAGACAAGGATAGAACATTCCATCACAGATGGAGGGGCCTAAGGAGACATGACAACTGTAAATGTAATGTAGCACCCTGGATGGGATCCCAGAGCAGAAAAAGAACATTAATGAGAAAATGTAGACTCCAAGTGAAATCTGTAAGTTAGTTAACAGTGTACCAATGCCAATGTTACTTTCTTAGTTATGATAAATGTGTCATGCTTATTTAAGCCGTAAACATTAGAGCAGTTTCCTGACCTCGGCACTCCTGATATTTTGGAGTGGGTAAGTCTTTGTTGGGGGCAAGGGGCTGTCTGTGCATTGCAGGATGTTTAGTAGCATCCCTGGCCTCTACTCACAGAATTCAGTAGCACCCCCGGTGCCCCATGATGTGACAACCAAAAATATACCTAGACATTGTCTAAGATCCTTTGGGGGCAAAAGTACCCATAATTGAAAGCCACTGCGTTAGAAGTTGGGCAAAAGGTATAAGGGAACTAACTCTTAGTTCTATCTCTGCCACACTTCGATAAACCTAAAATTTTTCAAAATAAAAAACATAAAGACAAAATAAAACACATGGCCAAAAATGCAAAAGCTACAATGAAGTAACACTGCAACTACTGGAAGAACTAAAATTATCATGACAATACCAAGTGCTGACAAAGTGATGAAATAGGAATCCACAGACATTTGTAGAAATGCAAAATAGTACAAGCAATTTGGAAAACAGTGTGGCAAGTCCTCTGAAAATTAAAACATACGCTGACCAGTCAACCCAGCAATTTCACTCTTAGGCATTTGCCCATATGAGATGAAAACCTATGTCCACAAGAATTGGAATGAAAATGTTCATATAGGCATCATTCACAACAGCCATGAAGTGGAAAACTCCCAATGTTCTCTGAACTGATGAATGCAATACAAAACACAGAATATCTGTGCATAGTCAGCAATAAAAAGGAATTAGCTATTGATAACAACAGGGATGAATTTCTAATGCATTTTGCTAAGGAAGAGAAGCCAGACATGTAAGATTATATCTCATAGGACTGAATTTACATGAAATTCTAAAAAAGGCAAAATATTTTGAAAATA